AAATGTGAATCACTGTGTCTGCTGGCTCACAGCCATCTTCTGAAGGAGCCGCCCTTGCTCACAACCTTTACTGCCCGCATAGAGCTGCCCTTTCCCCCCAAGACTGCCCACTTATCCTGCCATGGCAGATTGGACTGAGCTGACCTTATAAGAAAATATGTGCTGGACCAGTCAGATTCTCTCTTTAGATTTTGGAATTGGACACTGAGAACCAGGCCATTTAGCTCTAATGAACAGAACTGAACATCATATTGGACTCTTGGGCTGAGGTCACTTGGCTGGGCCAGTTTCTAGAAGAGAGACAGGGAGGAAAGGATGGAGTAGACCTACAGGGACAAACAGGAGCTTTGGCTTCTTTAATTGAGGTATCTTGAGCAGATTTCTGTACCACAACCAGAAGAAGGCTAACTGAAACATTGCGAAATCAAGAGAGAAAATCAGGGCCAAACCTGACCTGAAGGGCCATGAAAAAACAGCCTAATCTCTCTCCACACAGATGCATAAGATTTTCAGGCAGGAAAGATATTAGAGGGCAGGATCAGCATCATCATGGCTAATATTTTCTGAGAAATTAAGATAAGTCAGGCCTTTTGCGTGAACTATCAACCCCTTGAAGTAAGGCACAATAATTATCTTTATTTTTACAGATGAGTAAAAACAGGTTAAATAAGAAGCATGCCCTTAGTCATATAGTTATTGCGGTAAATCAGTTACAAAAATGGTCCCAACTATTTGCCCTTCCTGTATCCTCATCTTTTTCAGAGTGACTTTGCAGCTGCTCCCATCAAGAGGTGGCATTTGAGCTGACCCCATGACTTGCTTTGGTCAGTGAATGTGGCAGAAGTGACAGTGTGTCGGTTCTGAGCCTAGGCCTAAAAGGTTTAAAGGCTGCTTGTTGGCCTCCCAGTGTTTAACCACAGGCTGTGTTCTTACACTGACTGAACAGAAAGAGGAGGCAGGGTAAAGCCAACCTGCATACACCTCAGCGCAGGCCCCTTGCCTGGTCTGCATTGTGATTGGGGGGACATGGAGTTGAGAAAAGATAGATGATAGGTAAATAGATAGATTAGATAGATAGATAGGTAGGTAGGTAGGTAGATAGATAATAGATAGATAGATAGATAGATAGATAGATAGTTAGATAGATAGATAGATAGATAAAAACATTGCTTCTTGCTTTATTAGAACCCTGTGAATGTGGAGGAGTCTAGGCTGTTTCTACTGGAAGATGAGAAACATATGGGCCAGGCACCCCGTGATCAATAGCCAACCACTGGAGGTGTGACTGAGGCCATTCCAGATGAGCCAGCCCTTAGACAGCCAACTGCCAGACATACGAATGAGACTCCTGGATCAGGCAGCCCCCAGACAATCCATTTGGTGAATACAGGTGCATGAGTTCTTCCAGCCAGGCATACCCAAACCTGGACCAGAGCAGCAGAGCGACCCTGCTAACTCACAGACTTATGAGCTAAATAATAGCTTAGGCTTTGAAGACACTAAGTTTTGGTAGGTTTCTTAGGCGGCAACAGCTGCAGCTGGGGAGAATCTAGGAATTGAACAGAGGACTCTCTGACTTCAACACTAGTGAGTGTATACAAATCTTGAGCATACGGTAGTCTGGCTAATACAAAACCTTCCCTCTGAGAAGCAGCATAAAAGTGGAGTGTACAGGTCACTTACAAAAGCGTCACCAGCTGTTTGTCAAGTGCAGGTTTACCCCCTTATCCCAGACCTCAGGAATTAGACTCTCCTGGGAGTGGGGTCTGAGAATCTACATTTTAAACAAAGTCCCTGACCATTTTCATGCATATTAATGTTTTAGCACTCTAGACTGCTCTGCTAAGACTTTGAAACACAGTGAAGCATTGCATTATCTCACTCTGGTATTGCTTTCTCCTTACGTAGTTCCCTAGGCTTATTCGTATGGTAAGGTTTTAAGTCAAAAAAGACACATTGGCACTTTTTTTTTCAGAGGTAGTGTTGATACAGCCACGAACCTTTTGATGGACATAGAGTACATAGGAGTGAGTGAGCCAACCCAAATGACACCATGATTAAAGTATATCAACATGTTACTCCTTGAATAAATACTGGAAAATTAGTTTTCTCTGATCCTATAGTCCCATGCATATATGGTCTTATGCTAGATACAGAAGTAGGGGAGGAGTGAAGTAGAAAGGGTGTTTACCAACAATATTTACTTGTCTTTACTGTTGTTATCTATAACATTATTATTTTCCCAAAGCAAGCACTAAGAGGAATAGGAAGTGACTTGATCCTAACTTGACTTTGAGTTTGGTCAGTCTGAACTAGCTTTAGCAGGAATGTGTGTTCACCTCAGAAGTAGCCATTAGAACTGTGGGAATATTTCACCAGTGCTATATTCTCAAGTTCACCAAACGAGTTAAAAGTTTAAAATATCTTTTAGACTGATCTATTTCATGCTATCATGTTTTATAGAAGAGTTTTTCACCAAGAATAGAAAAAGGAAAAAATTATAACAGAAGGAAATACTACACAAAGTGCTGTTGGAAGACTGTTCCTCTGCAGATGACACTAGTGCTTAGAACTTTTGATTCAAAGTTCTTCGTTTCCTACAAATATTTTCCCCCCTGTTCCAAAGGAAGGAGAGGCTCCGAATAGCCAAGTACTGCACTTTAAAAAAAAAATGCAGGACAACTTTTCATCTCTAACAGTACTAAAATTTTGCCATTCCAGACTGTGCATGACAAACCACAAAACATATGTGTAAAAAAATCTGGACTCTTCTAACCGTGCCAATCCGTGGGTAAGAACTTACTTCTGGAGCCACGCAGCTGTTGAAATCAGTCATATTTACAATTTTTACAAATGAGTTTATTTTAATAAAAACAAGTTACTCTGTGAGCATGATCTCTAAACAGATTTATGTGGGCTGGCACAATCTGCTATGTGAAACATATATTCATATTGCTTAGTTCTGCAACCAGTTTCTTTTTTTTTTTTTTTTTTTGAGGGTGAGTCTTGCTTTGTACAAGGATACCAAATAATTGGCAGCAATTCAGCTAGGGACACTGTTCTCAGCACTGTGCTATTAAAGTTGTTTTCCTGGACAGAATTGCCCTGTGGGCATCGCCCTGGCTTGGGAGGACTCTGGGCTGCTGGCATTAGGCAGTGAACCAGACAGCTTATACAAAGAAGGAGGTGATGCTATAAAATGGCACTAAAGAAGAAAGGGAGGATGATGATGGGTAGGAGAAAAAGAAGGAATGAAAAAATAGAGGGAGAGGAAGGGAAGAAAGAGGGAGGATGGACAGGGGGCGAAGAGAGAGAGAGAGAGAGAGAGAGAGAGAGAGAGATCAGATTTATATTCATTAGTCCACACTCTTAAAGGGGTCTCTTTATCTGTCCTTGATCTCTGGCTTATGTTTCTATATTCATGTTTGCTGGGTTACTAGATTGTAATCTCCCTGAAGACAGTAATATTGCCTGACTCAGTTTTGTATCCCAAATGCTGGTGCTCAAAAACCATTGTTAAATGATGAACAAAAGAATGAATTTCTGTATCTGAAGCATTCCTTTCTTCAGAGATGAGTCCTAAAGAGAGGTTCTCAGTGGACACAGTACTGCCCCCTAGGAGGCATATTGAAATTCTGTGGGGGCAGTTTAGGGCCTGCGGTTCTCATATTAGGGCATTTATTTAAACAGTGAAAAACATTGTTTTATTATTTTTGCTGATATTCGTGTAGAAATTAAGAATCAATGACTTTCTCTTTTTTTCACCTTTATTAGAATATTGAGGTCCTGAAATTATTTGTGTAGATAGCTTACATTATCTGAATTTAATTCCAGGAGAGTAAAGCGATGTTAAATACCGTGTGTTGAATATGGCAGGATTGAGTACCTCTGTTAATAAGATCATTAAGCTTTGCTTGTTTTTGCTTTCACAAGTTTTAGGATTATAAGATGAAACATACAAAGAAGAAACTGGTGTGCATTGGTTTCAACGATCAGGGTTTCACTTTAAGCGACTGTGTATTTTAGGATTAATGCGGCTCAGCAGAGCACTGCTGTCGAAGCGCAGAGGGTCCGGGACTGGGGTGGGGGTGGGGAATAAACATCAAGGCACGTCCAGGCCCGTGCAGAATAGCTTGGAGGGTGAGGAGTTCCTCTTTGCTTTGATTTGTACTTTTCATTTTAAAAATGATGTCGGGGTGGAGAGGAAATGAGTGGGGAGGGGCGGTGACGCTGTCCGGTTTTCCCCGAAGCTTGGGTCCTTAGCTGGCTCCCTTTGCGGGGCTGGTTCACAATGAAACTGTCCGGATTTGAGGACCACGGCTTGCAAAGGGAGTCCTCCAAGAGAGGGACCCGTGAGGCGGGAAAGAAGGGCTTTCGGGGAGCAGAGGTTGCCTCTGTCTTGTATGGCGGTTCGAAATGAGGTTGAACTTAACTTTTGGTGTCTGAGGGTAGAGCTGCCGCCAGTGGTGGAGCAGAGACCCTGGAGGCAAGAGGCGGGGCGTCGCTTGACAGGTGGTGGGGCTTCGGGCTAGAATAGAGGCGGGCGTCGGGAAGGCGGGGCTTCTATTGATAAAGGGCGGGGCTTCCAATGAAAGGGGCGGGGTTTGGACAGAACTACCACCTGGAAGGGGCATATGATGAGAAGGGGCATTTCTCAACACTCGGCGGTGACAAAAGACAGGCGAAGCTCTCAGGAAGCATGGCCTCATTGACAGAAGGCGGCTGTCTTCTGGATAGACCTCTGTGAAGGCCTGGCTTCTATTGATAGAGGGCGGAGCCATTGCCGGCCAGGGGCAGGACCACTCTGAGATCTGGGGAAGGAGGGGCTTCTGTCAACGGGGGCGGGACTTCAGTTGACAGAGGGGCGGGGCGGCTCCCTACCTCCCGCTGTACGCCAATCGGGGCGTAAAGACCGGGGTCTAAGCCCAGGGGAGCAGCGGGTCCGGGAGCGGAGAGCCGCGCGCGGAGCGGGGTGGGGGGCGCTCAGAGGGCGCGCGCGCGGGCGGGCCCTGCCTCGGCTGGCTCTTCTCCTCCTCCTCCCACCCCCAGCAGACGGCCGCTGGGGCGCGCGCCTCGCCTCACCCCACCCGCCTCCCCGGACCCTCCGAGGGGCCTGCCGAGCTCCGAGGCCGTGTGACAGCCCGCCGAGCGGTTCCGGGTGTAGGGTTCACAGGTCAGAGTTGACTCCCTGAAAAGTGCAGCAGCTTTGAAATGCAAGATGGCGGCGGCGGGGCGCTGAGAGGCGCGGCGGCCCCTGCAGGTAGCGGCGCGAGCCGGTTCCGGGAAGAGCGGGCTGGGGCTCCCTGGGGCTGCGGGTGGGAACAGGCAGCGCAGAGCCCGTGTCCGGCGCGCGGGCGGGTCGGAGGAGGGCGGCCCCACGCAGGGACCCCAGGGGACGGAGCGCGCTCGTGGCGGCGGGTCTTGGGGCGGACCTGGCGCTGGGAGTTCGAGGGGGAGGGACCGGGCCTGCCAAGGCCTGGCAACGCCACTGAGGGACAGACCCTGAGCCTCCTTCACTCTTTCGGGGTCTCTGTGGCCGGGGAAGTAGCTGGGGGGTGGGGTGGGCTCCGTAAGGGGCAATCTCTGCCCTCCTGCCTATGGGAGGATTGAGCAACTTGGGGTTCTTGAGGGGAGTGAAGGCTGGGTGGGTCTTCCGAGGGGAGTACGCCGCAGGGATGGAGGACCCCAGCAATGTGGAGGGTCTTAGGGGAGGTCTGGATCCCTACCCTGCATGGGCGTGTGGCCTCGAGGGGATTCACCCACCCTTAAAATAAGTAGAGTCTTGCTGGAGCTGAGCGCACTGGCGTTGGGGTTGAAGCCCCGAGAAACAATTCGGGGAAAAGCTGTACCCCACTTCAGGAAAGGCTAGGCACCCATTTCTGGGCCAGGCCGTGCCCCCACTTCGGGACAAGACCCAGAGTTGAGTCCCTAAGAACTATGTTATGTTTTGAGGAAGCCCTGGGACTTAGGGAGAAGTTAATTACAGAGAATGGAAGTGTTGTGTGTCCCTCTTAGGAGGGAGACAGGGAGGCTGACTCTAAACCTAGGGCCCGAGGGGAACAATATCCTAATCCTTGCAGGGGATGAAGGGCTGGGAAGAAGACGGGAGAGAAAACGGGTCTGATGGCAGGAACGAGCCCAAGGGGATGCCCCGACCCTGTGTATATCCACCGAAGTTCTTGGTAAAGGGAGTTGAAATTCTTTGTTTCAGTATGACTTTCCCACCTTTCCTCAACGGTGAGGAAAGAGCAAAACCCCGGAGAAAGAACAGTACCCTTTGGTGTCCTCAGGTTAGCGAAGGATCAGGCTCTGGCAAGGCTTCAGTGAGAGACTCCGGAGGGGAAATTAGGAATCGAAAGGGGGTGGATGGAGGAGGAATATAGGGAAGAGACTGGCAGAGCGGGAATTCCACAGCGCTGTTCTGACATCTCACACGAGCTCTAAAGAAACCATGAGACAAAAAGAAGAAAAGAACAACAACAAAAAAACCCCCACAAAAGCAAAAACGGCAAAAAAGAAAAACAGAAAAGAAAAAATAAAGAATATCATGAGAAGAGGCTAATCTTTGCTTGTTGGGGAGGGAGGGAATGTAAAGGAAAGGCTAACTGGTACAGAAATCATAATGTGATTAGGCTGGAATTTCATGTAATTTGAAAAGAAGCAGGAGTTCTCTTGGAGGCAAAGAGAACTGCAGAAAAGGAAAAATCACAGGACTGAGAAACGGAATGGTTCACAGTCAGGGAGGAAGCAGCAGCTTTCCCCCAGGAATAGTGACTGTCGGGTTGAAGTACATGTGTGTAGGTGCCTACATAAACTCTCCCTTAGGTTTGTTGGTATTGATCGTCCTTTCTCAGTCTGTCTGAAAGCTTTACCTTGTGTTATATGGTGCCACGTGAGTTATCTTTGCTTCTGAAAAATTATCTTGAAAAAGTCATTTGTTTTTATGCCAACAGTGAGGAGGAACAGGCGTTGGTTCTAATTGGGATGGTGACCCCTGTATATCCATAGATTTTGTTTCTTAAGTAGCAATTCAGACTCTTGATTTTAAGCAAAAGAAATGTGAGTGCTGCCAAAGACAATAATGTGGTAACAGGATGTAAAAGAAAACGGGCTTTCATGAATATTTTTTCCTTTCTGTTTTTCTCTTTACCCTGAGCATTTTAGGGCTAAGCAGACTAATTTTGTGCAAAATAAAATGTAAAGTCTTGGGTCCTTGCAATATAGAAATGATAGCATTTCATGTATTAGTAAAAGATTTCATTATCATGAATCTTTTTTGTAAAAGAACCTCTTCAAATGCTTTATTTGATAAAAAAAAAATGGGTAAGAAAGACCTGGTACCTGATGACAGCTATGATCCATACAGATTTCTTGACCCATTCTACTTTTTAAAAAAGAGTTTCAACATATTAATGGAAACATTTTTTAAAAAACACATTTAAATTGTAAATTAGTTTAGAGTTGCATATTTGGAAAATTTTTATACATATGTGTTGTTTTTTGGTTTCCCCAACATGCGTGTAGCTCTAGTTTTATATTCGATTCTGAACAGATTAAGCTGGTGAACCAGAGTGGCATTGATGCCAGATGGTTTGAAAATATGCTAAGGCGGAAAACATAAATGCGCCTGCGCTGTGAGCGCTCATTAGTAGATGCTGTTCCTTACAGCAAGCTGATGATTGGACTGAATTTGGAGGACTTTCCATAAATGATGTACCAATTGTTTTATTTTTCATGATACTCGTATTATAAGTTTTTAAAAATAAATGTGAATATAGTCTTGCAACTTTTTAATTAATAAACTTAATAGTATAGATGACGTGGGTTCAGTTTGGAGACTCTCCCTTTTGTATTATATGTCACATTTAAGACTGAAAGGTGATGTTATGATGTATTATACATTTTCTTTCATGTAATGTTACTCGGGCACAATAACGTGGTATTTGGGACTTGTTTGCTTTAAATTGTAACTTTATTCTTAAGTGGAAGTACTCTTAAATTATTAAAATGATAACATGTAGCTGAGGAAATAACCTTTTTATGTACATTGTAGCATTGTGGATTTGGGCTCAAAGACTACATTTTTTTAATATTAACAGTGTAGTCATAAGTTAACCAGACTTGCCTGACTGAAGTTGCTGATTATGAATTGGGATATATATTTGAGTTTACATTTCATACAGTTAATTTTTAAAGTAAATATTTCTGTGTTTTTTTTTTAGGTAGTTGCTAGGTTTTGGTCTTAAAGAATAGTTAGTCTTTCTAGTTTCTATCACCAGTATTCAATAACATATTTTAAGTGATATAAAGATGGTCTTATATACTTTTGGCCTGAACAGTATGATGATATACTTTGGAAAAGAAGTATATGTGAGCAGTTTAAGAATGACATTTATTCAAGGGAGTCAAAATTGAGTAATTCGTATTTTATGCAGAATGTTTATTTTCATTTTTTAGATTTAGATTTTTAAATATATCAAAGCTTATTTAAGAAAATTGAAACACTGATATAGTAGACATATCGCTTATATATATATATTTTAAGATTTATTTATTTATTTATTTTTAGAGAGAGGGGAAAGGAGAGAGAAAGAGAGGGAGAGAAACATCGATGTGCGAGAGATACATCGATTGGTTGCGTCCTGCACACCCCCTACTGGGGAGCTGGCTGGCAACCCAGGCCTGTGCCCTGACTGGGAATCAGACTGGCGACCCTTTGGTTCACAGGCCAGCGCTCAATCCACTGAGCCACGCCAGCCAGGGCCATATACATAATTTTAAGTAGCAACTTTGTCACTAAATTTTTGTGATTTCATATTTCCCATAGAATTTCTGACTCTCTTTTTCCCCTTCCTAAAAGTCTTTTTTCTTTTTTTTTTTTCTTTTTTTGGTTATGGGAAGCAATGAAAGAGATAGAAAGAATGTGATGTTTCTAATTAAGCTTTTTACTCATATCATGTTTTTCTTCTATGTAAGTCTGTTTACTTTCCAATATTGTCAAAAAGAAGTTGGTTAAAACTTCTCTATGCATGGACTATACTCGGGAGTAGGGGATGGTGAAAGAGGACAGCTTCTCTCCATTACTGTGATAAGATTTTTTATATCAAAGGTTTGTTAGTTCTATGAAACTCCCCTTAAAATGTGTCATAGACAAATGATTCCTCCTGAAGCTAAGGTCAGAGAAAATATGTGTATGTTGGGGTGGGAGGTGTAAATTATGATTACTGTCTACCTGTTAAAGCTAACTTATTCTAACGTTGCTTAATAGGATCAAAGGTATGAAATGGAAAATAAAATTGATTGGTTATTGCCCAGACTTTTAAAATATTTTATACTATTCCAATATTTAACAAATTTTAAACAAAGACTTAATACCTTAAGGAAAAGTCAGAAAAATCTAATTGTGGGCCTATTAATGCCAGGAACTATTCAAACACCTTACATGTTACAATCCTCATAACAACCCTATTAAATAGGTACTAGCCCCGTTATTAATAGCCCAGTTTTACAGATGAGGGGGCTATGGCACAGGCAGACTAAGTCACTTGTTTAAGGCCACGCAGCTAGTCAATGATATAGGCGGAATGAAAACCCATGCAGTCTGGTTCCAGAGCCAAAGCTCTTCATCTTTATTTATGATCCATCTTCTATTGCCAAAACAACTCACCTGTTTTATTGTAGAATGTATATGGTTAAGATGACTTCTTTAATTTTTGAAGTTCACTCTAATCCTAAATTTAAAAAAAGTACTGTGAATTAGAAAGAAGTGTTCTAAAATAATCCCAGTATCAGGAACTGAAATAACATCAGGCAGGTGCCCTTTTCATCCAGAAGTAGTGAGGAGCTCATTTGCTGCTGCTCTCGCTGCCTTGTGCCTTCACTTGCCTTGGCAGCTCTTCTCAAGAGACTCCCATTTGGTCATACACCTTAGATTTACTGTGTGATTTAAGAGTGGATTCGAAGAGGTTACCCGTTTCCTATAACATTAATAATTCATTTTGGAAAATAACCTCCCCCCTTTGGCAGCTGTTTCCCATCTTCTCTTCTAGTCCACATCCTTGTGGGTGGATGGCTAAGGAGAGGCGGAACGGGGAGATCCTAGGAAGTGAAATTGTAGAATCCCCGGCTGCAGAGACAACAGGGTGCTCCACTGTGCTTACCAGGAAAATGCTCTTTTACTTTTCATGATAATGGCGTAGTAACTATTCAGCCTAAGCTTTAAATTAACCTACAAGTATTTTACTAAAGGATTGGTGGATTTACATTATTTCTTGACTTAAGAGAGCTCTTTGTAAACATGTATATAATAATAGCAAGAATCAAAGGAAAGGTATTGGGGAGAAATCATCTTCCTGAATATTTATTCACTATGGTTACAGAGTTTCAGTTCTTAAAGAACAACAAAAAAGATTCAACACTTCAAAAGTATTATTTTTGTTATTTAACAACTGAAACAGCTATAGTTTTTATTACATTTTCCTGATAGGTTTAACTCTGAGTAATATACCACAACATTTTTGGACACAAATCTGAGTTTTCAGAGAATGGTTTTCAGTTTATTTGTACAATTAAATGTTTCACAATGCATTGACTAAAAAGCCATTTAGTTGTAGCTTTCCTGCAAAAACGAAATAGTTTAACAGCAGTCATTCTATTAGACTTTAGGGGTTGAGTCTCACTAGTTTATTGAAGTAGTACTGGCTTATTGCCAGCTTTAATAATCCACTCCATTCCAATTAATACATAGTAGATTTGGATACAGGTATCAGTAAGTTTATGTGTAAACATAGAAACATATACCTCTTTCCATGTCTTAGTTTAACTAAGTTGTCTTATAACTTTTGGGTAGTAATTTTTTTACAATTCCCTATTTCTTTTTTTTTTTATTTTTAATTAATTTATTTACTTTTTAAATACATTTGTCTCTGCCTTCCCCCCAATTCCCTATTTCTTAATCTTAGCTTTCCTATGATATTCTGCACATATTCACATTTTGAAATTTTTTTATTGAAAGCATAATAGTGTCTTGGTTGTTTTACGTAACATAGAATTTTTTAAAGTGGAGTTTTCAATTTTTGTGTTTCTTACTAATATTGGGTTTGACATCCAGATGATTCTTTTAAAGTTTCTATGAGGAAATTAACTTTTTTTCAGTTATTTTTAAAAAGCCAAGGCATAAACTTTAAAGTTTCCTAACTAAGACTGAATCATATCTAGAATAACAAAGTGATATTACTTTTTTTTTTAGGAGATGGCAGATAGGTACTTTGGACCTGTTGGTAATGATGGCCTGAGCTAAAAACATCTAATTTGAAGGGACACCCTTCCGTGTCAAAGAACAGAATGCTGAGGAAGCTGTGGCAAGTATGTGTTCCATTGCTTTGGTGAGGTAAAACTCAGGTACTGAGTGTGCTCTATTTAGATTCCATGACACTATTTGGCTAAAGTTTTAAAAGCTTATCTTTGAAAAGCAGCTCTTTAAAGAAATGTACTTTTGCCCTGACTGGTGCGGCTCCGTGGTTGGGTGTCAACCTGCAAACGGAAAGGGTGCCGGTTGGATTCCCGGTCAGGGCACGTGCCTGGGTTGCGGGCCAGGTCTGCTGTTGGGAGCTTCTGATAGGCAACTGATTGATGTTTTTCTCACAGATTGATGTTTCTCTCCATGTCTTTCTCGAGACAATCAAGACAATCAAAATTCAAGTGTTAATGGTGAATGTAGACAGGAATGAATATAATAAAAATGAAAGCATCTAAGAAATAGTGGCCAAAGATAATCTAACGTTAAACATATAGGAGTATTGGCTGCTTCAATTTCAAAGGAAACAGCACTATACTTCATAATAAATCTTTGTGCTATATTTATAATTGATTTTTCAATTGATATTTGCTGAAATCCTTGTGTTCCAGGTGCTGCATCAGGTGCTGTGGTAATAGTGCTAAACAAGACAAATAAAGGTCATGAGGGTCGAGATATTTAATGTGGGGAAACTGATCCAGAAATTTTACTCTTCTTTTACCTATATCCAGAAAAATGTTTCAAGAACAATTCCTGAGAATATATTTTCAATATATAGTCTATTAAAAATAATTAATTATAATTACAAAGTTAGGATATTAATAGTCAACTATTTTAATTTAGGTCAAACATACTTTTATTTAAATATTCAAATATATTTTTATATATTTAACACATTTTATTTATCTGATAATATATTGGCTTTTATAAGAATAGTTACATTATATACTATACTGTTTGAAATATCTATACTTTAGTTCAATTGTTATTTAGAGTATTCCAGAAACTACTAAGAAAGATTACATAACCATTAATATGGTTGTTCACTTTCATTTTTTAAAAATTGATGAGTCCTTACAAGTTGACATTAACAATCTAATTACTGTTATATATTCAAAGTATTTTTAAAAACTGAAAGATTGTAAGTAAGTGAAATAAGTAACAATTACTATATTTTATAAAGAGGGCAGATAGTAGACAAATGAATGGTTTTTCAGCCTCTCAGTGATAATCTCACTTGGAATCAGGAATAGCATTCTTGTGTTAGGCTGCCTGTGAAAGACTTAACATACCTCCTCGAGAAAAGTAGGGGAAAACTATTTTCAGCAGAAAATTACTTTAGGATTATACAAATTTAAATAACAAAAATTGGAGATTTCACTACAGTGCTAGTTTGTGTATCACTGTCAATATGTTAGGTACCTACGGATATGCCAGCAGAAGGTAGAAAACCAGGAGGTTAGTGTCCTGGAGACCTTCAAAAACACAGTTCACTCCTCAAATCTGGGAGCAGAGTTTGCCAGGAGAAGTCTGTCCAGCTTGGATTCTTCTTTTAATCTTTAGCAGTATTAAGGTCAGCTTTCTCAGGTGGAAAAAAACAGGAAAGAGGATAGAGTTTCTAAACCTTTAAGCCTTAATTAGCATTAACAAAGAGATCTTCTGAAATTAGATTATCTTTGGCTGCAATTTCTTAGATGCTTTCATTTTTATTACATTCATTCCTGTCTGTTTTCACCTTAATACTTGAATTTTGATTGCGTTGAGACCACTTTGGAAATTTTATTGAGGTTTCTCTTTTAGTTAATAATTCTAGATATAGTAATTAAAAAAAAATTGTTGTGGGTACAAATTTGGGTTGTCAAATTTCTCATTTAATTTTTTAAAAGAACTTAACTGCTATTTCTAAATATTTTTAAATGTTAGCTTTTAAAAATACCTCAAGAGTGTAAAGACCAAAATGTTTTTATTTGTGCTAATTTGATCCCATTATTCTTTGTTCTTACTATTATTTAAGGCATTCTGTGATTTTGGTGGGTTTCAAACTTTTAGTTTTAATACAAACATGTAAAAATAAGTATTTTCAGCTGGCTAAACAGAACTGTGACTCAGAGAGGGAGAAGTGAAACTAAATAAAATACAGAGTCCAAAGAATTTTCAGTGTATGTATGAATACATATTCCAAAGGATTCTCAGTTTGTATATTTTAGCTACCCGAAGAACAGTTTTATTTAGTTGGTACTAGGTCAAAACTAACATGATCTTTAAAAATTATAGTTATCTTCTAAATGTTCTTATTTGACCCAGAATTGGTATAAAAAACAAAGTTTGTTTTTATTCACATAAAACCTTACCAAAATAACATTCTTTTGTGGCTAACTAGGCCAATAAACTATCTGTTAATCATTTAATTTGAAGTATAAGACAGCCAAAAAAAATAGAGACTTGGAAATTTAGTGTAGCTATGGCTCTGCTTAACTATAAAAAATTTGGACCTTTTTATTTTAAGTATTAAGCATAGAATTTGAACAGTCCCTCACTTTTTATTGTGCATTCCATTGAGATCTTATATTTTAATCTGGTTAAAAATGTAACATCCTTAAAGTATAGTTTTCTCTTGGAAAAGAAATAATGATTCCAAGTTTAAGTTTGCATTTGCTCTCCTGTAAAGACTAATTCTTTGAATGAATTTATCTTGTTTCATTTTTACATAGTCCACAAATTTAGATGTATACTGTTCATGCATAAAACTGATTTGTTACAGCAGAATTATAGATGTTGGTAAATATTTGTTGAATATTCATTGCTCAGTTTTCATAAATAGAATGTTTTATATTTGAAGGTGTTTCAATATTCTAATGCTAAGGTAATTTTATTAGTAAGGATTTTTACCTTTGAAAGTAATAAAGCAAGCTCAGTTGTTCTTTATAGCTCTCCTGTAAATGAGTGTTTAGTAAAGTAAAATTTATGTTATAATATATAATACAGATATATTTTAAGGGCTTCCCCCCCCCCCCCAGCAAATATTACTGGGGCCTTGATAGGCACTGTGTTGGGCCCTGGGGAGAGCTAAACAGACATTCTTTCAACCATGTAAGAACTGCTGTTAGAACTGTCCAAAATTTTTATAATGTGATGAAATAAATTTTGCTTTCATTAAATGTCTTTCTGGAGAGAAACTTTGTTGTAATAATTTTGACGAGTTAAGACTTATGAATTGATTAAGGAACAACCTATCCTTAGGAGAAGAGCCAGGATGCAGACAGAACCATGGAAATTGTCTTGGCCTAGATCTATACCTGAAGATTATGGGTGCTCTTGAGGTTCTTACAGACAGTCTGACTTCTCAGGTCTTGGGGCAGGAGCTCCAAAAAATACCTGGAATACCCCTGAATGCTATACAGAAAGAACCATAGAAATATTTTATTCCATTTGCAATAGTAAGACCTTGAAACTATTGTTTGTTGTATTTTATAATAAAGCAGTGTTATAACAATATTAAAGAAAACTTGTAACCCTCACTGGTGTGGCTCAGTGGCTTGAGTACTGGCCTGCAAACCAAAGGTCTGCCAGTTCAATTCCCTGTTGGGGCACATGCCTGGGTTGCAGGCCAGGTCCCCAGTAGGGGGCATGCGAGAGGCAACAGATTGATGTTTCTCTTGCACACTAATGTTTCTTTCCCTGTCCTTTTCCCATCCTTCCCCTCTCTCTGAAAATAAGTAAAATCTTAACAAAAAGAAAAAGAAAGCTTGTAAACACCGCAATCCAAAAATTTCACGTACCACATGTAAAAAAACGTATTTTTTATATTCTCATCTTGTCTTTGTCCACATGTATACTTATTTTCCCATAGCTATTTTATAATTAATATGCAAATTTTGTTTGATTTTTAAAAATTTAATGGTGAATTGATATGTCTTTCACATTCCTTAATTACTCTTTTGTTTTTGTTTTTTTAAAAATGTTTTCCCAGCTTTATTGAGGTATGATTGACATACAATTAATTGCCCATATTTAAAATGTATGATTTCATATATTTTGGCTTAATTAGTCTTTTGATTATCATTTTTAATGGCAGTGTAACAATTAATTGATTTGACCATTATTTTTTAACATATTTCTCTATTGAAAAGTTAACTGAAAATAGTTTTCAAATGTAATTATATTTACAGTGCTGGATGCATATAGAGCATAATTTTTCCTTTATTTGCAGACTTCATTTTAATTGTGTTTTAATTGCAAAGCTACTTCACTATTCAGTTGTGCAACTGAACTCTAACCCCTTTTTACAGGTAAATAGTGCAAGGTTTCCCACATTGATTTTGAGTTCTGTTTCCAGTTGACCTTCAAATAAAGAATAAAATGTCTGTCAGCTCACTGTGATTTCTGTATGGCCATTGCTCTGTCCCAGCCCCACTGCACTTTAATGACAAAGGAGATGAATTGGAACTACAACATAGAAATTCTTATTCTGTATTTTTACCCCTTCTGCTTTTTCATTCACTTGTGTAGCTTGTCAGCTGATTAAGTTCCTAGAGAGAGACAAAGGCAAAGAGAACACTAAATAAATAGTATTTCTTCATCTTCGTAAAGAATTTTTCAAGGACTAGAAAATAGCATTAATTAGTTATCTACTGTGTATGAGAATGTGGAAGCATTTTATTTTGGTCAGCCTCTGAGGTAGATACCACTATTGTAATTTTCTCCAAGGCAGCCTTCTCTGTTTCATTTCTAGAAGCCTCCTACAGTGTGCTCATATACCATAGTTCTCAATACTTCCTCTCTCATTGCATCGATCATAGTTATACTGAGTAATTGTTTACTTATTCTTTTGCTTGTTCAGCTGCTAGTACTTGGTCACTGCTGTATCTCTAGTGCCTAATACAGTGCCTGGCACATGGTTGCCATTCAACAAATAGTTGTTGAATGAATGTGTTGAAGAGTCTTGGTTTTATAGGTGGGAAAACTGAAGTTGATACTGAAAAACTTTTCTAATCATCTAACTACTAAGTGACAAAGAAGACTCCAAAACCTGTGGCTTTACCTTATACCACAGTGCCTCTATGAATTTACTCCTCTGGGCCTGGATTCCTTCTTCCATAAAAATGGGGCGGTTGCTTTGAGGCGCTTGCTTCCTCCCAAATTATGACTCTTCACAAAGATGCCAAGGATGTCTTTGTGCTTTGGTTTATTTTTACGTTACTTCTGTGTAGGTATTACAATAGAATTGAGCCATTGGACCAAATCTCGAGGCTCTTTTTGGAATTCTCAGTCTCCCTTTAGAAATATATGAAGTAATATATCGACCCTGGTTTTGTTAGCAAAATGTGAGCAAACAGTTTTAGGAGGAAAGAGGAAAGAGTCTATATAGTTGGATATAGAAGTAACCAGAGGTTGAGGCAATCTGTAATACCCAAGATAATCAGATTTTTAGGCTTCGGTGTTATTGAAGGCTTTTTTTTAAAAGCCTTTCTTTTAGGTAGCTTATCTAAATTTAATTACATTGCCAAGATCAGTGCTTTTAAAAGAAAAAGCACTTTTGTGCGTATATATCATTAGATTGTAATATAACATGAATGATTTGTAATTTTCATTACTTGAGCAAAAAGTATTTAAGCTTTTAAAATTTGCTTAAATTTTTACAAACTGACCTTTCTGAGTTAGTAAACTATAAGAAAGAGGAATAAAAGTAATAATTTGGTAGCATAGTCTTATTTTTATGCTAGATAAGATAAAAAAATAAGTTTAGCCCAAGAGTTAGAGAGCCAGAATAATAAAGAGGCCAAAGCTGCTCAGGTTTCCCTTCTGTGTCTCCTATTGGTACTGGCTACCTCATTCTACGCCTGGGTGCCTGCCCCAGGCCTGCCTTCTGCAGTGAAACCTGAAAGGACACATGAAATTCACTTGAGATTAGTTTTCAAATATCATGGTTCCGCAGTGCAAGCTGAGGAGGATTTGTGATGAAACTGATATATTGTCTCGAAAGTGTTTACGTTTCTAAGGCAAAGGCTTTCAAACGCATACTGGAACCCATCAGAGGTGGAAGTAGGGATTGTGGAATCCATGGGATGGGGTCAGGAAGTAGTTCAGCCTCTTTATTTCTCCAAACGGACAGTTGTTAACTATTTTTCTGGGCGGGGGGGTGCTTCTCATAGAATTTTGTTAGAAGAAAGGGCTCCCCTGCTTAAAACAAAATTGTTGAAAACCACCACTTTTCAGGAAAGGTGGTTTCAGGAAAACTATCTTTGGCATTTGTTTAAAATTTCACTTTTCAACTACAGTTTACAATCAATATTATTTTGTATTAGTTTTAGATGTACAGCAAGCGTTTAGACAATCATATACTTTTCAAAGTGATCCCCCCCAGTGTTTTTGGTACCCACATAGCATCATACATAGTGATTACAATATTATTGACTATATTCCCTATGCTGTACTTTATGTCCCTGTGACTATTCTATAACTATCGATTTGTATTTCTCAGTCCCTTCACGTTTTTCACCCAGTTCCCCAAGCCCCCACCCCTCTGGCAACCACCAGTGTGTTCTGTCCACGAACATTTCTGTTTTGTTTGTTTATATTGTTCTTTAGATTCCACATATATAAGTGAAATCATATGGTATTTGTCTTTCTCTGACTGGCTTATTTCACTTAGTGTAATGCCTTTTAGGTGCATCCATGCTGTTGCAAGTGGTAACATTTCATTTTTTTTGTGGCCAACTAATATTTCATTGTATATGCTTACCACCACTCTTTTTGTCTACTCATCTGTTGATGGGCACTTGGGTTGCTTCCACTATCTTGGCTATTGTAAATAATGCTGCAATCAACATAGGAATGCATATATTCTTTTGAATTGTGTGTTGGGTTTCTTTGGGTATATATCAATACCAAGAAATGGAATAGCTGGGTCATAAGACAGTTCCATTTTTAATTTTTTGAGGATCCTCCATACTGTTTTCCACAGTGGCTGTATCAATCTGCATTCTCATCAACAGTGCAAAAGAGTTCCCTTTTCTCCACATACTCTCCAGCACTTGTTTGTTGACTTATTAATGATAGTAATTCTGACAGGTGTGAGGTGATACCTCACTGTTGTTTTAATTTGCATTTCTCTCATGACATTGAGCATCTTTTCATGTCTCTTGGCCATCTGTGTGTCTTCTTAGGGGAAGTGTTTATTTGGGCCCTTTGCCCATTTTTTAATGGGATTATGTGGGGTTTTTTTGGTGTTGAGTTGTATGAGTTATTTATAAATTTTGGCTAATAAGCTCTTATCAGGTATATATCTTTGACTTTCAGCTATTAGTAGACCCCAATTAATATCAATATCTGTGATCCTAGGAGAATAACAGTCACAAAATAGCTTACTCCCCTGCCCTTCATCTGTACTCCTTCACTGTCAAACATGTGGGTGCTGCTTCTTTGTGCTTCTCCATTTACTTAAAACTATTTGAGGAATTCCCTGTTTCTAATGACAAAAAAAATGATCAAACAGCTGTGTTAACACTTGAACAAAATAGTGGTGTCCCTATTGAATTGAATAGGGGAGATGGCATTAGCTTAGTTTCTGTCATTAGAGATAGTTTCCAGTTTCAGACTTCTTTATATTCTCTTAGAAATCAAAGAAATTTTATAGGAAAAAAAGAATGACACCTTCTAGAGTAGGGAATTGGACTATTGACACTGCTATTATTACTAAGCTAGTGGTCTTTATTTTATAATATGGGAACTCAAGGTACAAGGTTCATTTAGTCCAACTTTCCACCTGTTGCTTGGTTCCATCAAAGGATATGTAGTATGTATTTGAATAACCTCAATGAGGAGGATTTATCACCTCAAAGGCAGGGTATTCTCTCTCTGGACAGCACTGTTTCCTAAAAATGTCTCTCCCTTTCCTGAGTCAGTGTCTCTCTTCGCAGAGACCTGGTTTTGCTTCATAATCTTTGAAGTAAACCTCTTCTCAGTTCAGCTAGGACAAGGATTATGCTAGCAAATGAATAGTTCTAATTTATGGTGGAGAACAAGACCCCTTACTCATTTCATTCATTTTTATTTCATGTAGACTTCAGAAGCACATCAACTTTAACTGATTCAGCATCAACATTTCTTATTTGAAATATTTTAAAAATGTATTCATATGAACATAATGCACTTTTTCTTGATGATTGAAGGTCTTTCATATGAATCTCAGGTATTGTTCTCTACAATGATGTCCTTATGACATGTTGAGTTGTTTTATTTTTTAAGATTTTATTTATTTATTTTTAAAGAGAGGGAAAGGGAGGGAGAAAGAGGGAGAGAAACATTGATGTGTGAAACGTTGATCGGTTGCTTCTCACACATGATTCAACCAGGGACCAGTCCCACAACTCAAGCATATATCCTAACCAGGAATCAAACCAGTGGCCTTTTGCTTTGTGGGGATGATGGCCAACCATCTGAGCCACACTGGTCAGAACTATTTTTTTGTTTGTTTATTTTGTTTAATTGTTTTTTATCGTCACATATTTTTCATTGTGTTTAGAGAAGGAGAGAGAGAAAAACATTGACCCCGTATGCATCCCGACCAGGTTACATGGCCCAGCTGGGGATCGAACCCACATCCTGAGTATGTGTCCTGACTGGGAATCAAACCCGTGACCCTTTGGTCTATGTGATGATGCTCTGACTGAGCCACACTGGCCAAGGCATGTTGAGTTTTGTAGGACTGTTTTCCTATTCATACTGGTTCAAGTTAATAAAGTCCCTACTTCCTGGCTTCTTACATGCAAAGGGGATACAGAAATGAATGAGAAGCTGGCCAAGGTAGCTCAGCTGGTAGAGCATTAAGTTAAAGATGTAAAGGTCGTTGGTTCAGTCCAGAGTTTCAGAGGTTTTGTTACATCTCAGTAAAGCTATTACTTAAAAAAAGAAGAAAAATAATGAAACACACACCTATAATGAGGAGTAGGTTGTGGGGCAGAAATGCAACATTTCTCTACTACAACACAGTTAATACTAGACTAGACAATAAACTGGGGAGGAGGCCAGGCCACGTTCAGAGAAAAAGGTGAACTATAAGGCAGACAGAGAGATCCTGCCACCAAGTGCACAAACATGTGCTCTGGCATAAGGGTCAGCCTGCGCTGAGTGTCCCTGGAACAGCAATCATTTCTTCTGTGCTTAAAGCATGAGGAAACAGGAGTCAGGAGAGCGGTGGCAGGAGATTGAGGTTCGCGCCAGGTTGTAAAGGGAACTCTGTGTGGCTTCAAGAGTTTGGACTTTATTCTTTCATAAACTTTAAGTCGGGAGACTGATATGATTAGATGTATTTTATAAATTCTGGTAGCATTGTGGAAAATGATTAAGAATAATGTTTCTGAAACTTTAATCATTCTTATCTATCTTTGCTTCTTTGCCATACTTGGGCATGCTTTTGGGATGATGAGGTAGACCAGCAAGAAGAGAGCATAACTGATGGATTGAATTTCTTATACATTTAATAGTCATGGTCCCTGTGAGTATCTGTGACTGCTTTTTATAGTTTTAAAGTTTCTCCCTTGTTAACATACTATCATTTCACATTAGTAATAGTTTTGTCAAAGCAAACTCTTTCCCCAACTTCCCTTCTAATATATAGCTAGCTGAAAAATCCAAATAAACAAGCCTGTGGGCTGACCCATGAGTACAGTGCATAACCTTCAGTGAGTTGGCTTGGAGATATTTATTTTGATCCTTAAAGGACTTTTTTTTCCTGGGTCTAGTCTTATTCTAGATTTTTATAACTGAGCAATCCAACAACTTCATATGAGTGAAATAGAACTATAATTTGTTTAAAAGATCCTAATCACTCATTTAAAAACATTTTTAAATTTATTTTAATGTAGGTGATTGGAGTTGTGCTTCAAAAATTTCAGCAGTTCAACAGTATTTTATCTGCCAACAATAAGCTCTTTACTTGATTGCACCATGAAAAAGCTGCTAATGAGACTTGTTGAGCACAAAAACGGACTTGAAGAACCAAAAGCCATTGTTTTCAAATGAAGAATACTGAACGGTTTTAAGCCTCAGTGCTTTTCAATCACCACTGAGGTTTTCCCCATAGCAACAGAATGGCAAGCAGGCGAAAATCAACAACACCCTGCATGGTCCTTGCCAGTGAACAGGATCCGGACCTCGAGCTGATATCAGATTTGGATGAAGGGCCTCCTGTACTCACGCCTGTGGAAAACACCAGAGCAGAGAGCATCTCAAGCGAGGAAGAAGTTCATGAATCTGTGGATTCTGACAATCATCAAAACAAAAAAGTTGAAGGTGGCTATGAATGTAAATATTGTACTTTTCAAACTCCAGACCTAAATATGTTTACTTTTCATGTGGATTCAGAACATCCCAATGTAGTGCTAAATTCTTCCTATGTTTGTGTCGAATGCAATTTTCTTACCAAAAGGTATGATGCACTTTCTGAGCATAATCTGAAGTACCACCCAGGAGAAGAGAATTTTAAGTTGACTATGGTGAAACGGAATAACCAGACAATCTTTGAACAAACCATAAATGATCTGACCTTTGATGGTAGTTTTGTTAAAGAGGAGAACTCAGAGCCAGCTGAATCTACAGAAGTTTCTTCAGGAATCTCTATCAGTAAAACTCCTATCATGAAAATGATGAAAAATAAAGTGGAGAACAAACGGATTACAGTTCATCATAACTCAGCTGAGGATGTTCCTGAAGAGAAAGAGAAGGAAATCAAACCAGACCGTGAAGAAACTGTGGAAAATCCAAGTTCTTCGGCTTCTGAATCTAATACCAGTACTTCCATTGTCAACAGAATACCCCCAAACGCCGCCAGCGCGGTAGTGGCCCCAGCGGCGGTCCTTCCTGGATTAGCGCAGGTGATTACCGCCGTGTCAGCCCAGCAGAATTCCAATTTGATTCCCAAAGTCTTAATCCCTGTTAATAGCATTCCTTCCTACAACACTGCATTGGATAACAACCCCCTTTTGCTTAACACCTACAACAAATTCCCTTATCCAACGATGTCAGAAATTACTGTTCTTTCTGCGCAAGCAAAATATACAGAGGAACAGATCAAGATCTGGTTTTCAGCCCAACGTCTAAAACATGGTGTGAGCTGGACTCCCGAGGAAGTAGAGGAGGCAAGGAGAAAGCAATTCAATGGAACAGTACACACTGTACCTCAGACCATAACTGTTATTCCGACACATATTTCCACAGGGAGTAATGGCTTGCCATCCATTTTGCAGACATGCCAAATTGTTGGTCAGCCAGGCCTGGTCCTTACACAAGTAGCTGGAACAAACACCTTGCCGGTAACAGCCCCGATAGCCTTGACGGTGGCAGGGGTGCCGAATCAAACCAGCATACAGAAAAGTCAGGCCCCCGCTGCCCAGCCTCCTGCAGAAACAAAGCCAGCAACAGCAGCAGTCCCAGCTTCTCAGCTTGTCAAACATGAAACCGCGCTGGCAAACCCCGATTCATTTGGCATTCGGGCAAAAAAGACTAAAGAGCAACTGGCAGAATTAAAAGTCAGCTACCTTAAAAATCAGTTTCCTCATGACTCAGAAATTATCAGACTTATGAAAATCACAGGCCTGACAAAAGGAGAGATTAAAAAATGGTTTAGTGACACAAGGTACAACCAGAGAAATTCAAAGAGTAACCAGTGCTTGCATCTCAATAATGATCCCTCCACCACCATCATTATAGACTCCAGCGATGAAACCACCGAATCCCCAACTGCTGTTACTTCACAGCACAAACAGTCCTGGAACCCCTTCCCGGACTTTACGCCCCAGAAGTTTAAGGAGAAGACAGCAGAACAGCTTCGGGCCCTTCAGGCAAGTTTTCTCAACAGCTCCGTACTGACAGATGAAGAATTAAATAGGTTAAGAGCGCAAACCAAACTGACGAGGAGGGAAATTGATGCTTGGTTTACAGAGAAGAAGAAATCAAAAGCTTTAAAAGAAGAGAAAATGGAAATAGATGAAACTAATGCAGGTAGTTCCAAAGAAGAAGTGGGAGAAACTCCTCCCACAGATGAATCCGCTGCACCTAAGCCGGGGAGTGCAGGCAAGATATGTAAAAAAACACCTGAGCAGTTGCACATGCTCAAAAGCGCGTTTGTCCGAACACAGTGGCCATCACCAGAAGAGTATGACAAGCTGGCTGAAGAAAGCGGGCTTGCTAGAACAGACATTGTTAGTTGGTTTGGGGACACCCGTTACGCTTGGAAAAATGGAAACTTAAAATGGTACTACTACTACCAAAGCGCCAATTCGAGTGGTCTGAATGGTCTGTCGTCCCTAAGGAGAAGGGGGCGAGGGAGACCCAAAGGACGGGGAAGAGGAAGGCCACGCGGGCGACCTCGAGGGGGCAAGAGAATGAATAACTGGGACAGGGGGCCGTCACTCATAAAATTTAAAACTGGAACTGCAATACTTAAGGATTATTACCTGAAGCACAAATTTCTTAATGAGCAAGACCTTGACGAACTTGTTAACAAATCACACATGGGCTATGAGCAGGTCAGAGAGTGGTTTGCCGAAAGACAGAGAAGATCAGAGTTAGGGATAGAATTATTTGAGGAAAATGAGGAGGAAGATGAAGTCATTGATGAGCAGGAAGAGGATGAAGAAGAAACAGATGATAGTGACACTTGGGAACCCCCGCAACATGTGAAGCGGAAGCTTTCTAAATCAGATGACTAAAATGTAAGTTTTTAACCTGCGTGTATATTCATCGCCCACTTTTAGAACGGTCACCTGGTATTTATAATCTCCACTTCTGATAGTTGTTTTTCCAAAGTAGTCCTTTTACCTAATAAGAGAACTAGGTGCTACGAGTATAGCCAAGAAATATATGATTATCATGTGTAGTCTGATTATTATGTAGAGTGTAATGTTGCTTTAGTTACTTATTTTTTAAATGAAATGATTTTCTACTTTGTTTTAAGGGAAAGTTACCATTCTCTAAGAAGGGAGATTGGTGGGTGGGAGGGAATTCACAAATACTAAAGATAACTAAAATGTATCTTTTGCAACCCTCCTTCACTAAAGCTTCATTTTTTGCCTATTTAAGGAAAGAATTCAAAAACGAAAACTAAAAAGAAGGGGAAAAGTATACTGAAGGAAAGACTTGCCACAGGGGTGAGGACTGCTCAGTTTTAGAAAACTAGGTGAAAATGGGTATCTTTTTTTATTCATTGTATTGCCCCTAAAATATTAGACTTTTAACTAGAGTTTAAAATGCTTTATGTATTAAAATTGCTCAATCTTTTTTTCTATTAAAAGTGAAAGGTCTGTTTTGGCTATATATAAATTCCATGTTTGCCTAGGTAGCATCTGTTTTTGAAAACTAATATAAATTATTTCTGTTTTAGAGGTCAAAAGGTAAACAACAGATCTGATATTAACTCAATTGCCTAAAATGTAGTTTCATTCTTTGATATAAAACAAACCTGCTGCCAGCAGAAACACTGATATTTCATTAAAAATATCTCTCTGAGGTCATAAAAATTCAAGTAAATATGCTTTAAATGTAAAGGTTTGGCATATTCCTTAAATCTTCATTCTTTAGGTTGGATTAATTAAAATTTCTCTGTAGTTGCAAATCAGATACCTGATTTGGAGTTAAGGACGTCAATTCTTAATACTTTTAGAATTCAATAACATAGTTCTATTCTTTACTCACGGTTTTTGTGTGTTCCAACAATGCAGTTGTCATGAAATGTTTGTATGTCTATCAGTCCAAAAGCATCTTATCAGAAATTACTGCAGTGTTGTTAGACCAGAAAGGGGAAAAAGAGGCACAGACCCTTACGATCATATGAGCATATTTACTTATTTCTTTAGCGTTATGTATCCCTATCCCATCCTCTACTTTTATGCTTTCTTATTGTGCACAGTATCTCCTTAATTCTCCCTTGTCTTCCTTACTGCTTTTATTTATTTTGTTATAACAATTACTTATAGAGAGCTTAATATGTACCAGACACTATTCTTACTGTTAGCAATCCTTTTCCAAGTTTTCTTTCCATTAACATTTTTCTTCGGGCAGAGAAACAAATGAAACTAAATGAATAAAGCTCATTCAGGTTATAGAGCAAAATGTATTGTAAGCCACAAGAAGTTAAACAGCTTTATCCTGTGCAGTCCTCCATTTCCTAATGTCAGAAATCTTCAGGACAGGCTTTCTTCTGACCCAGATGCATAAAATATTTTTAACAGGCTTTTTTTTTTTATTGCCAAACACAAGAATGTACACTCAGCCAAGATTAAATCAACAAAATTTTTGCCACAATGAATTGTTGTTGTAGTAACTTCTGCAGTGATTTCTTAGGGAATTACTGTCTTCTAAAAAATAATATGAACTTTTTGTTTTGTTTTATTTATTTTTTTCAAAATACTATCATTTTATTTTTTTGGGGGGGAGGAAACATTTATTTTTTAAAAGTATATTTTATTTATTATGCTCTTACAATTATCCCAATTTTTTTTCTTCCCTTTATCCCCCTTCTACCCTGCGCCCTCCCTCCCTCCACCATCTGCCCCCCCCCCCAACTTAGTTCATGGCTGTGGGTCGTACCTACAAGTTCTTTGGCTTCTCTATTTCCTGTACTATTCTTAACCTCCCCCTGTCTATTTTATGCCCACCAGTTATGTTTCTTATTCCCTGTACCGTTTCCTCCCAGTTCTCCCTTTCCCCCACCCCACTTATAATCCTCCATGTGATCTCCTGTGATTCGGTTCCTGTTTCAGTTGTTTGCTTAGTTTTTGTTTTTGTTTTTTAGGTTCAGTTGTTTATAGTTGTGAGTATGTGGTCATGAACTTTTTAATATAATTTAGTTTGATCTTTAAGTTTGTGTGGATAATTATGTTATATATTAATACTCTCATAGGTACTATGTAAAAAAATTTACACAAAGCCACAGTTTTCAAAAAAATTGTGTCATATATGTTATATGTGTACTTTTGTTGTACATACACAGGCTTGCCTTGCTTTTAAAATATGCAAAAGTCTAAAATTATAAAAGACATAAATTAGCAAGTTATCATTGGCTTAAAATAATTTTTCATCTTACAAAAGGATTCACCGTAAGTTTCCTCTAAATAGTTTTTTTTTTAATTTAAATATGGTTCAGCTTACAAAAAAAGTAACTAAAACCTTTCCAAAATAGTTACTGTAAAAAGCGAGACACAGCAGGCCCCTCTTATCCTCAGGGCATATGTTCCAGGACCCTCTGTGGATGCCTGGAACTGCAGATAGCACCAAGCCCTGTATAAACTGTTTTTTTCTATACATACCTACCTGTGATAGAGTTTAATTTATAAATTAGGCACTGTAAGAGGTTAACAATAACTAATAAAACAAAACAATTATAATAATATATTGTAATAAAAGCTATGTAAATGTGGTCTCTCTCTCTGATAACCCAGAGGGCTACTAAGTGACAAATGAGCAGGTGGCCTATACAGTATGGATTTTCTGGACAAAAGGATGATTCACATCCTGGGTGGGACAGAAGGGAATGGTGTGAGATTTCATCACGCTGCTCAAAACAGCACGCAATTTAAAACTTATGAATTGTTTATTTCTGGAATTTTCCATTTAATATTTTTGAACTGTGGTGGACCACAAGTAACTCAAACTGCAGAAAGTGAAACAATGGGTAAGGGGAATTAGTGTACATATGTCATTTGCACAAGCCAGCCTTGTACAGTAAATCCTCGCTTAATGCTGTCAATGGGTTCTGTGACTTTAAGTGAATTGACATTAAGGAAATCAGTTGTACCATAGGCTGACTAACATAAACAAGAGTTAAGTTCCTGCAGCATCTCATCAATGTTACAGTGAAACGATGTTGAACAAATCAATGTTATTCGAGGACCTGCTGTATATAAGTAGAAAAAAAGACAAGAATTTAGATTTTATAGTTTATTATAAATACTGACAATGAAATATATACTTCCTACTAATAGTTTTTAAATAAATGATTACATATAGGTGAAAAATGTCTATAAGCAAATCTGGTTTATACACAATATATCCATAGTAGTTGCACACAAAATCTAGTGCATTATATAAGAAATATGTGGCATATATATAAGCTATAATACCTATATATTATATATGAGTGAATACAGAGGATGTGTTTTCATGACTAATTTATATCATTTTTGTTTCTAAAAGTGATAAACATTAAAATATGGTGTTCTTTGAATTTTTAGTTTTTTATTATGTTTTTCTTTTATAGCTGCCTAAAACATTGGAGGAGAATCAAGTCTTCACTCAAGATGTCTGATTTACTGTGAATGGGCCCAATCTTTAATGACACTGAAAGCGTTTGGGGGCATACACATTCTCAAAAAATAGGATCCAATACCCAAAAGAAATGGAACTTAATGTTGTGCCAAAGTTAAACTACTGCAGCTGGTGAAAGTTCTGCAATGTAAATAGGACACTAATTTAAAAACAAATTGTAAAGATTCAAATTTTAATACAGTACATTTTTATTCTGATATGATGGAGACATTCTGACTCTTAGACTTTCGGAGGGGGTTTAATGACCACTAGAGCTTGTCCTCATATTTTGTCCAGCGTAACACTGTATGTCTAGTAAGATGGGCCATATTGTCTGTATTCTTTGATATGTGATTAAGCTAATAGCTTTGAGTGACCAAACATTTTCCAGAGTAAAAATTGTTAGAAACAGGAAATAGAAAAATCTGACTTATTTCTGTGTCTTATTTATCAGGCCCTGCACGAAAATAAAAAGTTATGCATAGGCTTATACGTTCTCAGTGTAAGTGAAAATACAGCCGATTGACACATGTTGGAACAATAAGATTTTGTGGTATTATTGGCTCTTAATGATGGGATCTTTCAGAGATACCACTATGACAGTTGTAATGCTTCTGTTACATTTTCTTTCATTTGAAGCCGAATTTACTTTTTGTTAAATTGAAGATAATCAACACTGAAGAAGGAAAAGAAACTGGCATTAAGAATTTGGATAGGGGGAAACTCTGAAATAAATACTGTACCAATCATATGGAAATCAGAAGTGTGTCAGATCAGAATTTTCAAGAATTATTCTTTCAGTGAAATTCTACTTTGTGTAACAATTTCAGTGAATAGAGAAAAAATTCTGAACTGATCATAAGGAGTTAAAAGTTAGCTTTTCACTTATGAATCATGGAAGTGTTCATTGTTAACTCTTGCCGTATGAGAAGACTGAAAGTTTCTACTAACTTATAAACTTTGTAAAGACAGGTGCTGTTCATTCATGTTGAAAGGACCCTTTCTTTTGTGACTATAGGACCATTTTTCAAAACGTGCTCTCTTCATAGAAGAAATGTTCAGTTCAATTAGCTTTGGATTTAAAAAAAAATTTCTTCTGAATGACCAGATGTAGCGGGCTTGGTCAGTTTAATCTAATTTAATGAATAATAAATATTAAATTCTTGTTTTACCTAAATGTTTGTTGGCTAATGAAAATGTCATGAAAAAGCCTTGAATATGCATGCTGCTTTCATTTTTATAAACTTTTTATTTTTTAACTATAGCTTTATGCTTTATTAGTAATTCCAAAATGCTGCAGTTTAGCCAATTTCTTCACTCAGACAGCTGGCTTTGTGGGTGGCTTTTTCATACTACTGTTAACTTTTTAAAAAAGAAGCAATGTAAAGACTGTAACAATTTAATGCACTAAACTGTTCTTTCTTTTACACGTTTAAAAACTTCTTAAAGCACTCTGTAATATAATAATTAAATTGCTCCCTTTTTTAAACCATTGCTAATGTGATCTGAGTTTTGCTTGGCAATAATTTTCATGTTTTCAAAATTTGAAATGTCAAGTATTGGACAAATATGAAGCCTTTGAATATATTTATATTGTTTCCCTTACAATATGTTAACTTTGTATAGCTGTAAATAACTATTAGTAATTGTTCCTTCCTTCTCTTTTATAGACTTGGCACTTAATTCTGCTCTGATGTTTGCTAGCTTTTGAATATATTTGACAGAGCAAAGAACCCTCTCTTGGTTGTGTCCTTGAATACAAAATAAAAGTAAGCTGTGATTAGTAGTTTTCAGTGATTTTTCCCCCCATTTTATTAACTGAGTTTTTTCCAAATGTGGTAAAATATACATAACAAAATTTACCATTATATTTGTTTTTAAGTGTACAATCAAATTGCATTAATTATATTCACAATGTTGGGCAACCAGCACCACTCATTTCCAAAATATTTTCATCATTCCAAACAGAAATTCTCTAACAGTTAGGCAATAACTCTTGATTTTCCCTCCCCCCAGCCCCTGATAACCTTTAATCACTTTCTGTTTCTATGAATTTGCCTATTCTTGATATTTCAAATAAGCGGAATCATACAATGCTTGTCTTTTTGTGTCTGGCTTATTTCATTTAGCATAATGTTTTTAAGATTCATTCATGTAGCATGTATCAGAACTTCATTCCTTTTTATGGCTGAATAATAACCCTGTGTGTACCACACTTTCTTTATTCATTTGCGGATGGATGGACACTTGGCTTATTTCTACATTTTGGCTAGAAAAATGCTGCAGTGAACATGGCATACAATTACCTGACTGAGTCACTGTTTTCAGCTATTTTGTGTATATATTTAGGAATGGAATTGCTAAGTTACATCATGATTCCATGCTTAAATTTTGAAGAACCATCAAATATGTGCATAACCTCCCCTATTATTAATGTCCCCCACCAGAGTGGTACATGTGTTACAACTGATGAATCTATATCGGCACATCATTATCACCCAAAGTCTATAGTTTGCATTAGGGTTCATTCTTGGTGGTGTACATTCTATGAGTTCAGACAAAGGTGTAATGATTTATATCCACCATTATAGTATCATACAGAGTAGTTTCACTGCCTGAAAAATCCTCTGTGCTTCTCCTATGCTTCTTTCTCTTCCCCCAACCCCAGGTTAACCACTAATCTTGTACTATCTTCATAACTTGGCCTTTTCTAGAATGTTATATAGTTGGAGTCATTCAGAGTACAGCCATTTTAAATTGGCCTCTTTCACTTAGTCATATGCCTTTAAGGTTCTTCATGTCTTTTTACGGCTTGATAGCTCATATCATTTTAGTGCTAAATAGTATTCAATTGTCTGGATGTACCAGTTTATCTATTCGCTTACTGAAGAACATCTTGGTTGCTTCCAGGTTTTGGCAATTACGAATAAAGCTGCTGTAAACACCCATGTGCAGGTTTTTGTGTAGACACAAGTTTTCAGTCCTTTTAGGTAAATACCAAGGAGCGTGATTTCTGGATCATATGGTAAAAGTACACAATAATTGAGAGCTCCTGTTGTTCCACACGCTTGCCAGCATTTGGTGCGGGCGATGTTCTAGATTTGGGCCATGCTAATAGGTGTGTAGCAGTTATCTCGTTTTAATTTGCATTTTCTTAATGACACATGATGTTGAGCATTTTTTCATGTGCTTATTTGCCATCTGTGTATCTTCTTCGGTGAGGTGTATGTTAAGGTCTCTGGCCCATTTTTTAAATTAGGTTTTTTGTTTTCTTATTGTTGAGTTTTAAGAGTTCATTGCATATTTTGGAGAACAGTCCTTTACCAAATGTGCCTTTTGCAAATATTTTCACCTAGGTTATGGCTTGTCTTCTCATCCTTTTGAAATTGTCTTTCACAAGGCAGAAGTTTTTGATTTTAATGAATTCCATCTTGTCAATGATTTCTTTCATGGATCATGCCTTTGGTATTGTATTTAAAAAGTCATTGCCAAACCTAAGGTCATCAAGTTTTTCTCCTATGTTATTTTCTAGGGGTTTTACAGCTTGCTTGTTTTTTTTTTCTTTTTTTAAGATTTTATTTATTTATTTATTTATTTATTTATTTATTTATTTTTTAAAGAGGGGAAGGGAGGGAGGGAGAGAGGAAGAGAAACACCAGTGTGTGGTTGCCTCCCACATGTCCCCTATTGGGGACCTGGGCTGCAACCTAGGCATGTGCCCTGGCTGGGAATTGAACTGGTGACCCTTTGGTTTGCAGGCTGGCACTCAGTCCACTGAACCACACCAACCAGGGCTATAATTTTCTATTTACATTTAGATCTATTATCTATTTTGAATTATTTTTTCCGAATGGTATAAGGTCATTTTTTTTTTTTTTTTTTGCATGTGGATGTCCAGTGGTTCAGCAGCACCATTTGTTGAAAAGAGTTTCTTTAAATTCAAAGTACCTTAGTGGAATGAAGCTCTTTTTTTTTTTTTAAAGACTTCCTTTGTACCTTTTATTTTCCTTAAGGTGCTTATTACTTTCTCTTTTGTTTTACCATGTTGAGTCCCTTAATCATTAACTGTTTCACACAGTAGATGCACCATTGCTTTTTAAAATTTGTTTTTATTTGTTGATTTGAGAGAGAGGGGGAAAGAGAGAAACATCAATTTGTTGTCCCACTTATTTATGCATTCATTGGTTGCTGCTTGTCTGTGCCCTGATCAGAGGTCAAACCTGCAGCCTTGGCATATCAGGATGATATTCCAACCAACTGAGTTACCCAGCCAGGGCCACAGTTGCTTTGAGTGAAGTACTAATGAATTTTATTCCTTCAGTCTGGCTTGTCCTTTTTCTGATGCCACCATCACAGTTGTTGCCTCCCCTAGAGGCCTCCCTTATCTCTTCCTGACCTAGTCAGTACTAACTGCTTCCCTTACGTCTACCCAACAGGTCTTGGTTCATACTTTACTCAGTACCTATCAAGTTGGCTCTGTAAGTACATCCATTTCCCTAGCTTAGAGCACTTTCAAGGCAGAAACCACATTTAAAAAATCTTTTTGAAGCTAGCATTTGCTGAACACTTAATGTGTGCCAAGCACTAGGTGAAGAGGGTTCTATGATTTATCTCAGTCCCCATGGACGGTCCACGAGGTAGATGCTATTCTTATCCCCATTGTATAGCTGATGAAACTGAGGGTCGCAAAGGTTCAAATTTACACACACAGTTAAGTTGGAGGTGTCAAACCTGAATTGTCTCCAGAACTCTCGCTCTTAACCATTGCCTAGCCAGTGTCTTCACAAAAGTGTTACTCAATAACTGTTAATCAAACTGAACTAGAGATTGTGAGTTTGGGAGCCAGGAGAGAAAAAAAGCAATGTCAGGCTGGTGGGGCACATAGTTGGTATTGGGAGACAGTGTTTATCTTTGGGACAACAGCCTGTGGTACTGGAATGAAATGAACTGAGCAAGTCCTGAGAAAATTTCATTTGGCTCAAGACTTGCTGGCCTGAATAAAAGGGCATTAAGTTGAGAGTTGTGGTGGGAATGGGATGGGGAAGGGGCAGAGAGGCCCCAACTCAGCTACATAGAAAGATCATATGACAGCCAGGGCAGTGACAGGAAAATAACCCAACACCTTGGGCACCATGCGCAGTCAATGCCAGAAAGTACAGCCCAGAAGCTAGTAAGATACAACACTTGGGAGTTTTGGATCATTAGATCATTCATTCACTCAATAAATGTGTACTGAGCATGCAATGTACTCTGCCTGGCTGCTGGCTCTCCTGTCCCAGGCCGTCCAGCTAGCTCTCCCTCTTGCTCTCTCTGCCCCAGCATGGGGTTTGCGTTCTGCTCCTCGTTCTTGCAGCTTTTCAGCTGTGCTTGGTTCCACCTGCAGAGCTACCTCTGGACATCCTCCTGGCTCAGCTCTTCAGAGGTGCCTTCTTTGGACACCCCACCTGAAGTAGTCTCTTTCTCATAGATCACTCTTTTGATATTTGTAGCACTTACCACAGTCTAAAACTACTTTGTTCACTTATGTACTTGTTTGTTATTTGCCCACAAGAACTTAAGTTCCATGAGAGCAAGGATCTTGTCTGCTTATCACTTTGAGGATACAGTGTCGCAAGAAATTTTAATTGAATCAATGAATGTACCTATTATAAAAATTTACAGAATATAGGAAATAAATGAGGAATCCCAGTATGTTAAAATAAGTTAGTTGATAAATACCCAAAAGAATCGGTGGGATGCAATTCATGCCAGTAATGAAAGGGTATGCTTTGCTTAAAAGAAACAGAAAAAGATGGAGTGGGAGAAAAAGCAATATTTACAAGTATCCGAGCAAACAGAGAAAGGTGGCTCAGAGAACTGCCTGGGTAAGAAAAGGAAAGGAAGAGATGTGATTTCATTCTGAAAGGTGATCTGCAGGCTGCTAGGCCCCATTATTCTCTCACCTAGCACTTTGCCACCATCTGTAATTGAATAACTCGCTTGCTCCCATGCTTATCATATGTCTTCTCCATCTTAACTCCATCTCATTGAGAGCAAAGACCGTGAGTGGCAGGGATGTCCTCAGCACCTGCCGCAGGGCAGGCCCTCAAGTACACACTGGTTACCCACCGAACGCACACATGAATACTGTGTACTAAGCGTTGCCCTAGAGGAGCATAGGATGTAGAGGAGAACAATGTGACGGTTAACCCATTCAACAAACGTGAAGTGAAAGCCCACTGGGTGCCCTAGGTTGTGCTCAGTGCTAGACAGGGAAGTGTCCTTGCCTAGAATGAGGTCACGGTCTCTTGGGGGTGACGGGCAAGTGAGCACCAACAGAGATGTACGAGATGAGAAGTGTCCAGTCAGGGCAAAGCACGTGGTACTATGTAAACCCAGACAAGGGCCATGTAACCCAGACTTGGGGATCGGGAAAGGCTTCTGGGGTGTCAGCCAGAGGGAGGGCACTGAAAGGGGCCCTCTTGACAAAAGAAATGGTGAGGCGGTACCTGGTATGGGCATGGAGGGTTGTAGGATGAGGGAACGATCCCGGGAGGCTGATTCCCAATAGGACCAGCCTGGCTGGAGGGCACTGTTCAGTTAGCCAGGTGGGGTAGTGGATTAGGTTTCTCGAGGGTGAGTGTGTGGAATGGAAAATTGTGTTGAAGAAAGAACCCTGGAAGACAAATGGTGGAGGAACTGGTGAGACGAAGACCAACAGGAGGAAAACCAGAGAAAAGCTCCGTCTCCATTACCTGATGTGTAATAACGGCATGGTAATACTGTGCGGTGCAGTAGTGGTTTGTATTTTGTCAACACCGTCCGCATCCTAATCTCAAGGAACATCTTGAAACTATAAGAATGCTTCTAAATATTAGTCTTAGAATTCTGGAATTTGGTGTTTTCTCCAGACAGAATTAATGTTCCCTGATGGAGCCCCCAGAGTAAATCTCTATGTCCTCTTTTTATAAATGCGTGAATTATTCTGGTCTTTGTTATTGGTGGTGTCTCTTCTCAGGAGACATGGGGAATACTGACTCATTTATTTACCAGCTCTTAGCAACGTAATAATTGCTCCTGAACAAGTAATCTAACTCCAATAAACCCGATAATATTCATCTGCAAAACAGGAATCACAGGCCTTTCATAGGGAAAGTATATAAAGTACAAAAGGGTGCTTAACACAGTGTCAGGAATATCGTCAGTGATGAAAAAATCAGTACCTACTGATTTTAAACAGCTAACCCGGAGCCAGTGCTCTTTGATGCGTGCATATAAGGACGTTATCGCCATCTCCTGAAACCAAGAAGTCAAATTCTGTCCCCCAGTTTGGTCAGTTTGAGAGCCAGATTTAAAAAAAAAAACACCACCACCACAACACAAAAACAAAAAAACCTCAGGTCAACAGCAACCTCCAACCTGCAGCGGGCCAACCCTCGGTTAGGCCCGTCCGGAGACTACAAATCCCAGTATGCCGCGCTCTTCCGCGTTGGCCGGCACGTGGGCGCCGCTCTGGGTACGGCCTCCTCTCGATGCCCCCGCTGCCAGCGCGCGATGGAGACCGGGAGCTGGTTGCTCGGGGGCGAGTTCGAGGATTCGGTTTTCGAAGAGAGGCGGGAGCGGCGCTCTGGACCGCTTGCGTCCTACCGCGCCAAGCTCTGCGAGCCGCAGGTAGGCGGGCGCGGGGGCGGGGCCTCTGGGGCTCACCCGGCCCCGAGTCCTCACCCGGGTTCCCAGGCCAGGTCCCCCGCACCTCCTCGGACTGCCCCTCTGGCCACCCTGGCCTCCCCGTTAATCCCCAGCCACTAAGAACGGGTGTCTCCGAGCCCCACCCGGGAAGGCCCGGCCCACTCTGCCCCCGAGGGCGCAAGAAAACCCCCGCGCGGTTCGCGACCAGCTCGCCGCTGGTGTTGGGCGGGTCTCGCTGACTCTGGTCTTCCCTGCCCCTGCTCCAAAATCAAATCTGCAGGAACTCCACAGGCGTGCTGCACGGCCTGTGCAGCCGGGCAGGCAGCGCCCCTAGAAATCGGCCACCGCCCTCTTCTCAAACCTTAGTGTGGTCTGCCCCCTAGACGGCGACGTCCTCCCTCCTCCCACGAGCCTGTCCTTGTTCAGTGACATCCCCCTGCCCGCGTTAACCTGGCTCATCGCGTTAAAATAGCTCAATTGTATCCATTTCTCAAGGCACATCTTAAATGCTGCCTCTTCCAAGAAGTCTGATTCCCCTTTCCAATCCCAAATTTCTGTCTTGACTCCCCCCCCCGCCCCCACTTTAGCTTCTGTTAAGACACCTGCCAGTATCCCATAAAGCTCTTAGACCCTGAGTGCTAAATGATCACCTGGGAGTGGGCGGCTAACTAAATGCCCTCCCCAGTACCTAGCAGGTTTTGTTCATCATGGGAACTCCGTGAATATTTTGAATTAGTATTTGTATTATAGTTGACCCGTGAACAGTGTGGGGTTAGGGGCTCTGAACCCTGCACAGTGGAAAATCCATGTACAACTTTTGACTCCCCCCAAAAGTTAACTACTGATAGACTTCTGTTGACCAGAAGCCTTACCTATACAATAAACAGTTGATTAACACATGTTTTGTATGTTATATGTTTTATAACCTGTATCTTATCATTAAGTAAGGTAGAGGGAAAAAGTTATTAAGAAAATCATAAGGAGGAGAAAATCTATTTACAGCATTTATTGAGGAAAACCTGTGTATATGTGGACCAACACAGTTCAAACTCATGGGGTTTTTTGGGGTTTTTTTTAGTGTCAACAGTATTTCATGTGTGTGACTCTCATCTTACCAATAATAACTACAATTTATCAAAAACTTACCTGTTCCTGCCCTGGCTGGTGTGGTTTAGTGGATTGAGTGCCGGCCTGCAAACCAAAGGGTCGCCGGTTTGATTCCCAGTCAGGGCACATGCCTGGGCTGCGGGCCATGTCCCCATTAGCGGGTGCCTGAGGCAATCACACACAGATGTTTCTCTCCCTCCCTCCCTCCCTTCCTTTCTCTCTCTCTAAAAATAAATAAATAAGGTCTTTAAAAGAAAAGAAAAACTCACCTGTTCCAGGCACTGTACGGGGTTTCTTTGCATGTATTGTTTCATTTTTCCTTACAACCATTGTACTTACAGATGTCAGGCACTAAGTAATTACTAAATTACACTTTTGTTTTATTTCACTTAACATTTTCTCCTTACTGCATGTGGTTTTTCAGAAGTTACCTTTAGTACTTGATCAATGTAAACTCAAAACAGAACGGGCTTGGGAAGTCATATTGTATAGCAGGAGTGTCCAACCTGTTGACATCTCTGGGCCACATTGGAAGAAGAGTTGTCTTGGGCCACACATTAAATACATTGTGACAAGTAATCACAAAAAAAAAAAAAATCGCACGTTTTAAGTAAATTTATGATTTTGTGTTGGGCTGTATTCATAGCCATCCTGAGCCACACGCAGCCTGTGGGCCGCAGGTTGAACACCTCTGTTGTATAGCATTAAAAGCCATGGTTCTGAGATGGGGCCTCTGAATTCCAGTGTTGGCTTTATTTCCCCCTTGCCTTCCAAGATGTCAGTTCCTTATCTGTCATTTGGGAAAAATAATGCTGGCTGGCTCTCGGGCTTATTAAAAGAGTAAAATGAGATAACACTTTGTCAGGTATTTGATAGTAAATATAGGTATTTGATACTTTGTGTGATGTTCTGTATACTTAGCAAGTGAAGTCCAAAAATCACTTTTCTTTAGAATTGTTTGGTATGTGATCCTGCCCATAAACTCAAAGAGACCTTACTGAAGTCATGTTGGTTTCCCTCAATGGGCTGGAAGATTTCTGTTGGCCCTGCCTGCTCAGGTTCTGTGTGGGACCAGATGTTTGCCTTCAGCGCTTCACCTCTTAGTCCTGTACTTGTTTACGGCTCTTCCCTCCTTCCTCTTATCAGGAAGGGGTATTAAAAACCATCCCATGTCTGCATTCTTGTGGGAGAATAAAAATAATCATTTGAAAATTGATTTTGCTGGATCATTTCTCATTTGGATAATGGAAACTGGATGGAGGTTTGCAGTTGTGTCGTTATTGTTCAAGAAGTTGGGGTCGACTAATACTCTAACACCATATGGGACTGAGAGCGGTAGAGTACACAGGGAAATTAGGGGCCCGGTAGACAGGCTTGTTGAGTTACACGGTACTTCAGGGAGAACGGAAAGAACAGTGGTTACTAGCCTTCACCATCGTGATGGATCGGGCTAAGGAGAGAAACTGTTCTGCTAAGGTAACAGGAGACCATGACGCTCAGGCAACTGTTATGAAAAGAGAACCAAGCAATTTTGACATGACGGTGTAACCATCACGAATGCAGTTGTGTTTGAATTAATGGTATTGAACTGGGAATAGGCTTCATTCAGCCTGCATGTGCTTTACTGTAATGGGGGATGAGAGATTTGTTAGCAGCGGGTAGACTTGGCATACTGTGTGCTTTCTGTCATCTGAGCTTTTATTTTCTAACAATTGAATTCTTTATTTGTGATATCCATAAACGTTGCTTTTCTACATTTCTATCTTCTTCTGAGCGTTCTTCACTTAATAATCATGCAGTCTCAGTCTCACTTTCCTTTCTATCCATGGGGTTTCAGTCAGTAGAAAGGCAGATAAAATATTCCAGATGGGCATCTCCTGAGACTTTTCTCCTATAGGTCTTCGGCACTTGATTGCACGGAAGCCTCCTTTGAGCCTAATTATTATCCCATCTCTGCTTAGCTTCTGCCTGTTGCTTTTACAACATTTTCATAATAGCACTATAATGATCATTCCTCCCTCCTATGTACGTTCCTTAAAGAGTCGCCAGTCTCTTTTCCAACCACTCTCAAATGTCTCTACAAGAAAGCATATCTCTGTCTAAAGAACCAGTGGGGGCTGTGCTAATTAAATGCAGATTCCCAGGCATCACAACAACCCCATAGTGAAAATTCTGTGGAAAACAGAAACGGACTCATAGACACAGAGAACAGGCTAATGGTGCCAGATGGGAGGGGGCTGGGTGAAAAAGGGGAAGGGATTAAGGAGCACAAATTGGTAGTTACAAAATGATAACTATATACAGTGCCAGGTGGGTGCTTGAGTTATCAGGGGACCACGCCATAAATTATATAAATGTCTAGCCATGGTCTGTGTGGCTATAGTGTACACCTGAAACTGATATAAAATAATATTGAATGTCAGCTGTAACTGAAAAATAAAATTTTAATAATTAAAAAAAAAATGCTGTGGAAGAAGCCCTGAACTTTTGCATGCTTTTTGTAGCTGAGTGGCACTGTATACTGGTATGTTTATTAATTGTGTTAATTTTAATAAAATCAAGGCCATCATTAAAATTGTCATTCTTCATGCCAGATGTTTTTGTCTGAGTCGCATCCTAAAGAAGCCTGGCGTTTTTGAGGCTTAATCATTTATTTATGGGAAATTGCTTCTGAGTATGAGGTGGGAAAGGCATAGCTTCGTTCTGGATAACATGCTATTTTCACAATTTTTAGTGGTTTTTTGAGGAAACGGAGAGCAGCGATGATGTTGGAGCTCTAACTATCAAGAAGTTCAGAGGGGACCTGGCGTACAGACGGCAGCACTACCAGGTAGAACCCAATGTATATAAAGTTGCGCTGCCTGAATTGGGCTCTTGTTCTGTAGGTTACGGCATATGTCAGTAATAGGCTACTAAGATACAAATGTTGTTTGTGAAGATGAATTTAATCATTTGTGATGTGTGTTTATCATCTTAGGACCCCAAGTCTCTGTCCTTTTCTATGAGGCTCTATATAATTTGTTTTGTTTCTTGTAACTTCAGTATAGGGACCTTTTCGGGATCCCTGTGACTTGGTTTCCCCAGGCTCTGTGTCACCTCATGATGTGGAAGCCTCTAGCACAGATACCTCATTCCTCATGGGGCCTCAGAAGCAGAGCACCCCAAAGTGTGTAAGAACAGGGAGGAACTAGCAACCAGGTGCCAGCTTTACAGACAGATCTCCCTTCATCTTCATAAGAGTCCTGTTGTTACTTTGCCGATGAAAAGGTTACATAGCAGGTTAGTGGCAAAACCAGGATTCAAACCTGGGTCTGTTTGGCTCCAGAATGTTCTTCCTACTATACTGCGATGTTTTCTATGGCAGTAGTGATTATATTCTCCAGTCATTTTTTTTGTCTGCCTTTTAGGAGAATAGTACTGGCAAACCCTCAAGTTGTCCTTAGTTCATTGTAGGGGTCAATGACAACATTATCTCCTGCCCAGGGGAAAAAAAAAATCATCCCTATAACTGAATCCTTTCTTCTGCTATGTTTTCTGCCTTTCTTTTCATCCCTTCTCTTTGTTTCTTCTATTTAACAAATAATTGCCAGAAAGCCCTGCAGGAATATTCCAGTATTTCTGAAAAATTGCCACCTACAAATTTTGCCATGAAAAGGGATGTCCAGGAAGGCCAGGCTCGGTGTCTTGTTCGCCTGGGGAGGCATGCGGAAGCGCTGGAGATCGCTAGGAGCTTGGTAAGTGGTTTCGCTGCTTGCTTTCATTTGTTTTCCTAGGGTGGTTGAATGTTTTCTAAAAAACAAAACAAAACCAACTTCTTGCTAACAGCAAAATCTGTGAATTTGGAGAAGCAGAAGAAATTGCCAGTGGTGTAAGAACTTTATTATGATGAACAGTTTGGAGCTCTAGAAATAATAGTCATTTTCTTGTAATATTTTTTCCTGTATTATGCTCAAAATTCTTCGTTGCTTGAAAATCTCACCTGCAAAGGTTTTATTCTTGTTAGGAATAAATACTGAGTGGCAGGATTATCAGTGATCTGTTATGTTCTTTCTATTTTTCAATATTTCTACAATGAACATGTATTACTTTTGTAAAGAGGAAAAATGTTACCAAAAAATGACTAAATATCATACTAAGCCAAGCTTTAATAGTCTTTTTTTTTCTTCAGTGGAATTTGCAGAATTCTGGATTCTGCCTGTTTTTGTTTTCAGATTAAGGCATTTATGGTTTACTTCTGTGGTTACTTGTGTAAATTTTAAATGGGGCTTGGCCTTCAATAACCAGTCCTAGTTCATAGATGACCAGTGTTCTTCCTTAGAGGGAATAATGAGGTGCCATGTCACTGATGTTGAACCATGTGCATCTAGTCGGCCAAGGACAGCCTCAAGTATGCCTGCAACTGAAGTCCCCTCTTTCTTCTTAACTAAGAGAAATCCCTCAATTTGCTTGCTGAGAAGTTGATTGCATAGGACCTCAGCCCCTTGCAGCAAGAGGAAACCTTGGTGGTAATTGTTTTCAGGAGGTGGAAAATAGCTGCGTTTTCCTTCTTTCTTTTTCTCCCCTCTACTAACTGTGGGTTAATTCTTAAGCTGGAAAATAAGGTTACCTCGTTAAGGAAGCACGCGGCATGAATAATGAACTTGGTAGGATTTAGGTGTTTATTCTTAGTCTCTGTGGTTTGCAAATTAACAGCAACTTCAGCCCTTCTGGCACCTTCTTCTAGATGTCAGTCCCGTTCCTTCGTTACCAGCCTGCGTTCCCATCACCTCCCTCTTCCTCACATCTCTTGCACAGCACAGTGTGCTCTGTCCTCCCTGCCCAGGCCACTGAAGGCAGTGGCAGCTAGATTTGCGTCAGGGGCAAGTCTCCATTCCTGAGACTCAGACGAAGACCTGTTGCCAGTCCGCAGGTGCCAGGTCTCCAGAGCTTGGGGTGGTTACCAGGCAGGAGGAGGACCAGTCAGAAGATCTTTAGCTCCCCTGGCAGGACTTTGAGCATTATCTTCAGGCTTTTGGGTGCCCCAAGGGGGAAAACTGCCGGGGAGGGGAACGGGCAGTGTAGGCTGGTGGGTCTCGCCCCTTCCTTTGGGTCTCTTCACATGACCTCAGCGAACGCTGCCTGTTGGCATGGTTTTCTTTCCTGGTACCGCGTGTTTTGTTTTTCAATTTGTATGTTAACAACCTCTACCCCAACGCACAGTGCTTTCTCAATATGAAAATGTTTTTAAACAGCATAAATCATTGCAGACTGGCTGTAGAAGAAAGGTAGCATTTGTGTTACATGATACTTTCCTTATTATAAATGAAAGACACGAAGAGGTATTACTCAACAGTTATTGAACATCTGTTATGTGCGAGGTGCTGTACACTGTAGTAGGAGTTCTGCAGTGACTAGAAGCCCTTCTGGAACTCATCGGTCTGTTGGGAAGGACAGAACATTAAACAAGACTAATAGTAAGCCAGATAAGTTCTGCCATTGGGCAGATGTAGTGTGATCCAGTAGGCTGTGTGGGGCTTCCTTTCCTCTCTTCTCATGCAGTGTAAGACCCTTGAGGACCCTCCCCAAGTTTTCACTCTCATCCGCCTGTGTCTTTGGGCTGTGTATTGGGTCCTTCCACTCATATGTCTTACGTGGCGTAGTTCTCTGGGGCAGCCCAACTTAGAGGCTAGATGGCCAGGTTTTCCATTGACTTAAAATCGGCTGAAAGGTCTTTTAATCTGCTGTCTGCTCTCCGGACTTTAACTTAGGGAAGAAAAGACTTGATTTCTCTAACCCCCAGGGCTTTTGCCATATGGCAAGTTAGGCAAGAGGTGGTGGCTCTAATGATGGAGACTTGAAAAGGATTTTCTGGGCTTGGTTATAGCAGGGAAGGCATTTGGATCCAATTATGATGCCGCATGAAACACAGAGCTTCAGCCGTCTTGCTTAAGATGTCGAAGCCAAGGGAAATTTGGACATAGAGTTCATTCGAATCCTCAAGGAAATTGCCGTTTGGATTTTTAGAAAGCCTGCAATATTAAAAAGGAACTATTAGCCCAGATATAAAAATGCTGGCTTGGGTCTCTCAGCTCTCTGGCTGAAAACAATAAAGATTATAATAAAAATTGAGAATAAACTGGCTTTTATGTTTTTGGTGCTGAACTTTGTCAGACCACCATCATGTGAACTGCGTTATTGTTATGATATTAGAATGTTTAGGGATGCCTGGTGCTTGCTTTGCTGGGTAGAATATATTTCTCCGGGTTCATAGTTTCAAACTGAGAGCTATGAAAAAAATATTTCGTTCACTCTACCTGTGTGGCTGCTGAAAGATACTTCTAGTTTATAACATATACAACTCAGGATGTGTAGGATTTCTCCATTTTTATACAGAAAACAGTCTGCAATTCTATGTTTTTGACCTTCTTTTTTCTCCTTAGGAAACTAAAGCGACTAACACAGACCACTTAACCACCGTGCTCCACCTCCAGCTTGCCGTCTGCTCCAGTGGGCCGAGCTTGGGGGACACCATCTTCTGCCTCCAGAAGCTGATTTCTTTGCACCCTTTCAACCCCTGGAACTGGGGCCGGCTGGCAGAGGCGTACCTGAGTCTGCAGCCAGGTCCCTCGGTGTCATTTGCGTCATCTCCCACACAGAACAATTTCACCTCAAGTGACAAAACTATCAGCTCCTCCTTCCCACACTCAGAAAAAGACTGTCTTTTGTGTTCCCCTGAGACGTTGCCTGAGAGCTCTGTGTTTTCCATGGAAACAAGCAGCCGTAATAACCAGAAGAATGAGACTGCTCTTAATAGTATTCAAGACTCCATGGCAGAAAAGAGAGAAGCAGGCTTTCTAGAGACTCAGATGAAAGCATGTGCCTCTTTTATACGAACCAGGTAAACAAACAGGGGATTAGACAATGTACACAATACTGAGCTCAGAGTAAAAGTTTTATTTCTCTAATTATAACTTTAAAAAAGTTCTAGGTTAGACACTTAGTATATGTTTTTGAGATTTTTTTCCCACGGTCTAGATGGAATCCTTTGAACCTCTCCTTTTAGTATGTAAGATTTAGAAACAAACCATGTTTGCTCAAGAATACAACTAGTATTATTACTTGATAAAAAATAAAAATGGAAAACATTGAAATTAGAAAAAGAAATGCATGAAACACTAACAAAAGGAGAAGTGGTATTTTCAACAAGGAATTTTACACTCACGTTCCACATAAATCTGAAGAAGAAAATCTGCTCTTATATTTGAATCACTGTTAATTATGTGACTAAACAAAGTTTAGTTTATTCTGTAGAGAGTTCCCATGGCTGAGGGACTCCAAATACTTCGAATCCATATGTGTAAGAGTTTACGGGAAAGGGGGCACACACATGACCAAGGCTGTAATTTATGAGACACATATGAGATCACTTGAGACACACTCACTTAGGTCTCAAAACACATAGAGCTGGTTTTCTTTTTTTAACTCTGGAGAATTCCAGAAATACTGGTTAACAGACTTACTAAGAATGATATCAAATTGGCAGATTTCAGACTATTCAGATATTTACTTAGCGTTGATTGCGTCACTAACTCAGAAGCACACTGACTTACAGCTGGGTGCTGAGGTCATAAAGATGTTAAGGAAGAGCCCCTTTCCTTATGTGACTTACTGTATTGAGGAAACCCGAGTCAGGGACCAGTAGCTCAGACGCCAAGCAGTGGAGTGTTGCCTGAGCAGAGCTGTGCAGAGGGCGCACTGGGAGCCGGTCCACGTGGCAGGAGGGAGGAGGCTGTTCCAGAGGGAGCCGGGGAGCCTGTGTCGGTGTGTCCATACTGCATGCTGGGTGCTTTGCATACGTGATTTCACACTAATCCTTCCCACTTAGTGGTGGATGTTGGGATCTCTTCTCACTGTACTGACTAGGGAGGTAATTTAAAGTCATGCCCAAGACTCCAGGGAAGGGACTGTTCCCCACAGAAGGAGAGGTGGCTGGATAAAGGGAAGGACAGCGGAGGCGGGGCGGGGCCGGGAGGGGGGGCGGCGTGGGGAAGGGCGGGTGTGGCAGGGAGAGCGCAGGAGTCGCAGAAGACTTGGAAGAGCCCACCTTGCGTGGATGGGGGGAGGGGATGCCGCTCCTCCAGACAGGATGCGGGGAAGGAAGAGCACAGCAGGTCTAGGGTGCAGATAGCTGCCTGTAGGACATCCAGCTGGAGCCATAGCGAGCAGATGGCCGTGGAGTGCAGGAGGGAGCCAGAGATGAAGGGGTCCGGGGAAAGAGCAGCCATCAGATGGCAGTGAGAGGTCGCGTAGGACCAATTCTGAGAGGAGGGTTTAAAAGGTAGGAGGTCATCTGTGACCTTAGTCACTTGTGGCACTTTCCTTAGTTGATGAGGTGACATTGCAGAGGGTTAGGAATGAATGAACGTGAACTAGAAGCAGCACGTGTAAGCTGTACTTTCAAGTAATTTCAGAAACAAGAGGGAGAAAGCAAGTTGGAAAAGGTAGATACCTCCAGAGGCCAGGCGGGTAGTGCAAACAGGTTGGAATGAAACAGGGTGAAGGTGAACTGGGTCGAGTTCTTTTATAAAACTCTCCAGTGACTTCCCATCGCCCTTACGTAAATTCCGCATTTCTTCCCACCACCTGCGAGGTCCTACCTGAGTTGGCCCTATCTTTCTTCTTCTGAGTTGGCCCCATCTTTTCTCTCATTACTCCAGATTTTTCCTTTTTGGCTGTGTTCCGCCCACTGGGATCTTAGAGATTTTCACACAAGGTAACGAGTTCTTGCGTCAGAGCCCCTTCCCCCTCCGCAGCCCTTTCCCCAAGTGCCCCATTGCTGCCAGCTTCTCGTCGTTTAGGTCTTGGCCTGAGCGCTCTCAGAAGAGCCTTCTTTCCCCCACTGCCCCATCTGCATCTGACCTGTCTTGGATTTTTTTTGTTCATAGCACTTACCACTGCCTGAAATTGCCTTATATTTGGGCTCTTTCTCCTTCCCTTCTGGGAAGCAGGAACCTGTCTGCTTTGCTCACCAGCGCCTCCTAGTGCCTACAGCCGAGTGTGGTCCATCTCTCCAAGACATGAGTGAGTGAGCAGGAGAGCTGAGTGCTTCTGCGTGTAGCATTAGGGACCAGTGAGGCCTGAGGGAAACTGGAAAAATCAACACATTCAGTACTTAAAAAATCAGTGAAGGAGGCCCCATGAGGTGGACAGGAGGGAGGAGGAGCGAGGAGACCAGGTTCTGATTGTGATGGGGAGGCTGGTGGTGAGGCTGTTGCAAAGTAGTCATTGGAAGGTCCTCAAAGGTTTGGCCCTGCTCTGGGTAAGTGAAGTGAGCTTGAGCCTCTCATTGGTCCTGGAGGTCAAGTCGCTGCGGCTTCCAAGGGATATGGAAGGGTCTCAGAGCACTGACTGCAAAGGAAGACATCCTGATGTTCTGGGGGAAGAGCCTTTCATTGATTGGGAAGCTCCTCCTTTTTGCTTCTCGTTACTTGTGTTTTCAACCCCTTGACTCCTGCAGGACACCCTTTGAGGTCTTTCTCTCTACAGATTTGAGAAGCTCTGGTCTATGCATTTTCGAAAAGACAACTCTCCAGCGTAAAGCTGGACACTTTGTTCAGAGGGAGAAGCTCCAGGCCTTCGGGTGAGGATGTGTGCCTGTTGTTAGCCCGGCAGACTCCCGCCCGGCTGACCGCCTGTGCCACACGTGAGCCTTTCTGCTCTGCCTTCCCTCCTGGGAACCTGCACGTCTGTACTTCTCTGTTTTTCAGGCTTTTGCTTCAGCTCACCCAAGCTCAGCAAACATCGTTTGCTTTGGAGAGGAACTTAAGGACCCAGCAGGAAATTGAAGATAAAATGAAAGGGTTCAGCTTCCAAGAAGACACTTTGCTGCTGATAGCTGAGGTGAGTCTATCCCCTAGGGCTTATGTGAAGCGAGGCATTGTAGATATTTTTCCTGGCTCCGATACCATTTTTTAAGAGTTAAAAAAAAATTAAATTTTAGCCTTTTAGATCTCTAAACATTTTTTTAAAAAAAGGCAAGGTCAAATCTTGTCCTCTAAAGGACTTCTCTGTCCTTCCTTCTTGTGCCTGTGGTCGCTTCGTCCCGAAAAGTGGCCCCTTTGTCGTCTTTCTCCTGCAGCGTGCTAGAGGCCGGGGCTGGGCTTCGTGTACAGGCTGGTACGCGGGAGAACCTGCCTGCTTGACCATCGTCATGCCCAGTAACTTTTTTTGAGCTGAATGAATGAATAAATGAATGATTGATTGGTTGTTGGCATTTGTGCAGGGCTCTCGTATGTTTTCTTCTCCATTCATTCTCATAGCAGCCTGTGGGACAGGCAGGGCCGGGACCGAGGCGTGGAGAGGTTGTGACTTGCCTGAGGTCAGGTTTTACATGGCTGAGCTGCACTGGAACCGGTTCAGCTACAGGTCCATGTCTGCTCCACCCTCTTACTACTTTGATGGTTGCGGAGACATTCAGATGTCAAATTCTTTAAACCTTTAATAGCTTTTTAGAAAATACGCTGTTGAAATGTCTTAAGATGGCATTTGGAGATTATTCGTGTATTTAAGTTATTCACTCTGGTTCCCTTTCGTGTCTTAATTGAACTTTGACAGCTCTGGGACTTTTGCCATGAGAATAACTCTGTTGTCTACATTGCAACATGCTTTCAAGAAATAGTGCAGATCTAAGACTGCCCAGCTCCTTCCTCCCTTCCCCAAGCTAAACTCCCACTTGACTCCCCTTCCTCTCTGGGATCCCACTCTCCTGTCGGTGCTCTTGGAGCCTTTTTCAACCTTCCCCCCTCCTACGGGCTCTTTTCCTTGAGCCCACAGACACGCACAGGGAGTTGTATCTCCTAGGTTTACCGTAGCCTTTCCTTAGTCTGCCTCCTTCATGTTCCTGTAGATTTGTAGCTGTGGGCCACTCACTCTTTGTTTCCTCTTCCCTTTGCCCTGAGACGCTGCACTTGCCTGCTTTTCTCCTGTATTTCTTACTGTCCCTCTGCATCTTGGGAACCACTCGCTTCCTCTGTGTCTTAAGGAACGCGTGTGTCAGGCTCCCTTCGGCCCCCTGTTCCCTCTGCCGTCCCCCCGAAGCAGCCATGACCACGCTCACAGGTGCAGCTGTCCCCTCTGGGTGACCGCCCTCCAGTCTGTGTCCCTGCTCCCTTCTCGAGAACGTGCGTCTCGCACTCGCACCTCAGGTTAATTACCTACTGAGTGACTAATCTGAGATGATCATGGGTTATTCTACTGTCACTTCCGGTACAAAATGTCTGAAAGGGAGCTACTCATCAAAACACCTCCCACCAGTGTCTAGCATAGGGTAGCACCTTTTGTGAACTTGGCCATCAGTTAAGTATTTGAGAGAGTTGGAGAGAACCAAGTTTTCCTTGTAGACTTAATTTTCCCTGTTGATCCTGTCATTCTTTTTTTTATCCAGACCTGGAACCTCATAGCTGGGCCTCTCCCTTTCTGTGCTCTCCTCTCGCCGGGCACCAAGCCCCCACTTCCTTCAAGGCCTGCCTTTCATCCCTCTCCCTCCGCGGGCGGCACAGCCCTTACCACTCGTGTGACTCACGCGGCGACCTCCTGGCTTGTCTCTCCTTCCTTCCTTCATCTCTTCCCCCCAGGTCTGTCTTGAACATTGCTGCCGAGTTCCTCTTAAAATGTGGCTTTAAGGGCTGGGTGAAAAGAAGGCATTAGGAAGTACAAACTGGCAGTGACAAAACAGTCGTGGGGACGTGAAGCACAGCAGAGGGAATATAGTCGATAATTTTGTAATGACCGTGTGTGGCGCCAGGTGGGTGCTAGACTTACCGAGGGATCACTTAGCAAATTATGTGATTGTCTAACCACTAAGCTGCACGCCTGACACTAATAGAAAATAATACCGGATGTCAACTGTAATTGAAAAAATTTAGAAAAACAGAAAAATAAACATTGCTTTGACCATGTTACCTCTTCTTAAAAACTAAAATGTGAGGCCATTATCTCAGGTCAGATTTAGTTTAAAGGCCCTGATAACGATGTCCAAGGCCTTGCAGAGAGTACCCCAAACTTAGAACCTAGTAGTTCCCTGCACAAATCTGTGCCCATGCCTAATAAACTCATCGTGGGCTTTCCTGTCTCCACCTACTGACTGCTCCCACCCTGAAAGACCACCCGAAATCCACGTCCTCCAGGGAGCTTTCCAGGAACATGCTGTTCTGTGGCAGTTTCTCCCTTACCTGAGCCCAGATAGAATGATTGCTTGAATAGATAGCCGCCCCCTCCACCCCCCAAAAAAGCAAGAATATGTCTTATTCTTGTGGGTGTTTTATGAGGGAAACTAACGCAGAATCTGAGTCTGATTCTGACCAGTAGGGAGCAGTATTGTGCCTTCAGAGGGCCAGCATGCTTCTCAAGTCTCTGGGGTTGCTGTGGTAACCTTTCTGGAAGGATTGAGCCTCGCTGGGTCAGGAAGGGGGGGCCCTGGCTACGTGCTTTGACTTCTTTGGTGAAACTTCTAAGAGAAAGAATCGGTGTGTCTCCCTCCCTCTCCCAGCAGTTACATTCTGCCCACACCCTGCTCTTCAGTCATTTTACAAGGAGGGAGAGTCACTCGCAGTTGCATTCTTGCCAAAAGGGGACGCTCTGCTCTATGGGAAGGTTGCCTTGGCTCCCCTGCAGGCTGACCAGCACCGCTGTGACTTTGGTGCTTCAGTGATTTGTTCACTTGGGACGGGTGGGACTGGAAGCAGGGGATGATGTTTACCCATGTGGCCCTCAGCTCACTGCGCCTGATCAAACGTCTTTTCAGTCTGGCGGAACGGTCGCCGGGCCGCTGAAGGAGTTCTGCTCACAGGTCCTGGTCCTTTACGCCTCAGACCAGCCCAGTCTTGCGTGCCATGTCTGGTGCCCCTGTTACAGGGTCAGGGCTTCCTTCCTCCAACCGCAGGTCATGGGAGAAGATGTCGTCCCAGAAAAAATAAAAGACGAGGCTCACAGCGAGGGGAAGTGCGTGGGCCCCGCAGCCCTGGCTGCCTTGGTGGTTGCATCTTCGAAAGAATTTGAAGACAAGTGGTTCGGAAAGATCAAAGACCACCTCTGTTCCTCTGAAAATCAGTTCCATACACAGATACAAATCTCTGCTTCATAGTTCCTTTGAAAACTAAACATCGAGTGCTGTGTTAATTGTCCTCGTTGACTTCAGGGAGAATCCACTGCTAATCATGGAATATAGTGAATTTAAAATGATTATTTATAAAAATGGCTTATCTCCCATGTTCTGTCTCCTGTGTGCAGTTTCTTGATTTTTGTTGTCTTTCTAGATTTTTGCCATTAACTCATCTTGGGCCTCCTGCCTCTTTAGAAGTTCTCTGTTGGGAAAGTGCATAAAAGAGGCTTTTTGAGTTGATAGTTTTACAAAACAGTTACTACCTATAACTAGCAGCACAAATATTCCGATTGTTTAGATCCATTCATCAGAAGCAACCGAGGTTGTCGAACTGAAGGCCGTGTCAAGGTCAGGCAAGGCCCTGGGACTTGGCTGCACCTGTCAGCAGGCGCATGAGCCTGTCGGTTTTGTGGATGCCGCGGGAGACCTGGTCACCGGCGGCCCGGCAGCCACTGTCAGCCCCCGCACCGGCCATCACTGACCTTGCCTTGGGTCCCAAGGAGGTGACGCCTGTGGGCCTGTGGAGCACTGTCCCATGGGGAGAACATCCTGTCCTTTCCGCCACGCACATTATAACCACAGTCTGGAACATCATCTTCAGATACACAGGGCCGTTACCTTTCTCAAATTATCTTGGGTAAAAGAACTCCCTTAGAGAAGTGGAATTTAATAATAACTGGAAGACTTCACCAAATGTTGTCCCACACAGCTTCTGTTCTCCCTCAGTGGAGGGGGAGGATGCCAGCCCCCGGCAAAGAGCTGACATCAGCAGAACTTCCTTCCACCTCACCTGCCCACTTCAGCCTGTCCCGGGCCCCTTCCCCAAACAGACTGCTCTTAGTGTGTGTGAGTGCTAGCCATTCGTCTCTAAAACGGGAGACTGAGTAGATATTTCAATTTCTAATATTTCAATTTATTGGAACCATTGAAAAGTATGGAAACCCCCTCAACAGCTCCCCATTGCCCTCCGTTTATTCACTGAGTCATTAACAATCACTTCTTGAGCTCCTGTTATGTGACAAGCATTGCGTGGTTGCCATGGAGACAGGTTACCGTGAAGTTTATGATCTGTGTATTGATGGCCCTTGGGATACAGCCCCAACTGGGTTGTGTCTTCACCATTGGCCTTCGGCAACCTAGGGCTTCATCTTTCCCTGCCCCCCACCTTTAAATGTGCCATAACTTCCACCTTTAGGCAGCTTAGCCCAGACCTCTCCCCCACGCAGTCTGTGGCTGATTGAACTTTCAGGTCTTGACTGAATTTTAGCTTCCCAGAGCTTGAGCCCCACGTGGTGGTGTCACAGGTGGGCACAGGTAACCAGGTTCTTGATCACGGATGAAGAATCGAACCAAACACACAGCAAGTTTATAGCAGAAAGAGAGAGAGACGATTTATGAAGTGATAGTAACATTCCACACAACAGGGGAGCGGGCCACCTCTGAGCAGAGATTGACCTCAAGCTGGAGGGCTTCTATTCTTATAGGGTGGATATTTCCTGGCTAGTTTTCGGGGGGTTTTATTGAGCATGTACCAGTAATTGTATTACTTTAAAGCTACTGTGCATGTGGTCTCCCATGATTTTCCTTGATTGGTCACGGGGGAAGGGAGTCCCACAATACTAGTTTATTATAATGCTATTATAATGAAGCAGGGGTCCTCTAGCATCTGCACGGGTGCATTCATGATTCACCATGATTCTTCACTTTTCCAGAAAGCAGGAGCAACCGGTCTTAGAATAGGACCCCTGTCCTGTTAGCCCTGGGGCACCTCTTGCACTTCCTCCTCCCTGTCTCCTGCCTCAGTGGTGGGTTCCCCTCCCCTGCGCCTTTTCTGCTCTCTCCCTGCCACATGGACCTTTGATGCTTTCTAGGATAATCACCCTGCTTCCCATGGCAGACTTTAAACTTTGTACAACTGGGGGACCGGGACTGTCTTGTTCGTATTTATATCCACTGGGCAGGATACCTGGCATCTTGCTAAATATTTGGTGAAAAGAATTGCTGAATTCTTTTGGCCCAGTGGCTCGGTTTGTTGGAATGTCACCCTGTACACCAAAAGTTTGCGGTTTTGATCCCCTGTTGGGGTGCATATGGGAGGCTACTAACTGTTGTCTCTCCCCGCTACCCTCTTCCTCTCTAAAATCAATAAACATATCCTCAGGCGAGGATCTAAAAAGAAAAGAATTGCTGAATTAGTTGGCCAGTGTCTTACTTTGTTTGCACAAAGAGTTAATACTGGAAGATTTGAGTGCTGAGGCGGTCCAAGCACCCTGCCCATTCCTCCTTCTGTGGCTAAAACCCCTTCCTCCGGTTTGTCCAGGTCTCCTAGACGTGCCCGTTCCTCCCCAGCCTTCCCGGCGTCTCCTCTCCACCATAGTCCCATCCGACCCTGCCCAGGCTCAGCTTTTCGCCCTCCGGCTTTCCTCCCAGGTGCCCTGTCTCCACTGGGCTGCCTGAGTGGTCTTCATGGAGCGGCTTGCAGCCTTGCTCCCCGGGAGCCCCACCTCTGTGCAGCAGCGGCGCGCCCACGCCGTGGGAGCACAGCCGCGTGCATTCCAGCGCCTCACTGTGATGCAGGGTGGGAAAGGGCACCCGGGAAGCCTGGGCACCTGTGGGTTTCATCACACAAAAGTCACCTGGACCATTTCCAGCACAGATGGTAGAGAAAATCAGTGTAGCAATGGTTATGCTAAAGAAAAATCTCAGGCCAGCCCCTTAGACACCCTGCCCTCTTGTCAATGAATGAATCACTCAGAAGGTGAGCACATGTGAACCACAGAGGCAACTGCAGTCCAGGTGGGGGCTGAGGGGTGCGACCCAAGGGCAGTTCTTGCCTCTTGTGACTCTCAAAAGGCCTGTCTTGAACGTTTTCTCCCAGGAGGGGACCTGTGCCTGGTGTTTGAGCTGGCAAGACTTTTGTCCTTTATACTCTCCCACCCTGCAATCTGCCCACTGTAGCCCAGGAGTCTCATAGAGGTCAACCTCAAAGTCCTGCAGTGATTTCCCAAGCCCCCCCGTGGCCCGCGCAGGCCTGCATGGCCCGGCCGTGACTTCCACCCCCGCTCCCTCTGGTTTCCTCTCGTGTCCTTGGGCTCTTCAAGCTTCCTGCCCCCCAAGCCTTGTGCCCATCCAGTTATCGCTTCTTGGAACATTCTCCCCTCCAACCCCCCCACCCCCCGCCGTAAATGTCCCCCTCGCTGTGGATCTCACCTCAGAGGTCACTCTCAGACAACATGTTCCTGATCCCACACTGGCTCAGGTCCCCCGTTAAATGTTATCATAGCTCCAGTGCTTTTCTCCTCTTTTTGTTTCCCAAAATGCTTATTGGAATTATTATTGAATATTCATTGGATGAATCCTCCTTGCTAGATCATAGGTTTGGGGACTGTGTCTCTGGTTTGCCCCTTTATGGCCAAGCTCAGCTTCTCGTCAATGTCACAGTTCCTGTCCACTGCTGCCTTCCTGGAGCCCCAGGCCATGCCCCCTGAAGCCTGTGAGCCAGCAGCCTGCGGGCTCGTCCCTACAGAGCCCTGTCCCTGCAGAGCCCCACCGCCAGCCCCGGCGTCCTCGCCCGCCTCGGTGGTGCCGCATCTCCACAAAGATGCCTTCATTTGAGAAAAACCTTGGGTAGAAATCTTGGAAACAAAGCCAAGGCCACTGTTGCAGAAAAGATTATTTTCATTAACAGCTTTTTTTGTGCTTTTGAAATTTTATCTGTAAAGGGAATTTACACGCTACTTTCCAAGGTCTTAATCATATGAACAAACTAACAAAAACCAGAGAGGTGGATACCAAAAGAACACAGAGCTCTGGTCCCAGAGGTGTGGCTGGTTCCCAATGTTCTGGCACATTCATTCTCACACTCTTCCCCCTGCCTGGCCCTGTGCCCTGGTGCCCTGGCTGAACCAGGCCTCAGTTAGGCCGTGTCCCCCACCTCCATCCCCACCCCTCCCACTGAGCCATCAAAACAATGGTCCTAATGCGGAGCAGCCCCAGCCTGGCTCCTACCCTGTCTTCCCAATGGAAGTGTGTCCACCGGTAGATTTGCTACGGAGGCTGCGAGAAATGCAGGATTGGCACTTGTCTACTTGGGGCTCACCCTCCCTGATCCTTTCTCCCTCCTTGGCGGAGTGGCTCTGCCACCTAAAGCTTTAGCATTGTGTCTGCTCCCCCCTGGGCTAATGACCACTCTGTCCTCATCTCTGGGAACTGGCAGTCACAGGTGCACGCAGTGACCCGGCTGATTGGCGAGGGGAAGACGGGTTTTCGCGGCCAGAGCTGCACCGATCAGGAGCTCCCCTAGAGACTGAGAAACGATAGATCCTTCCCGTGTGAGTGTGAAACTGGGTCAGAACCTGAAGGTGGCTGTGTTCTGCCCCGTGGAGCAGAGAGGGCAGCTCTTCAGAGAAAGAGAACCTGAGGGAGGTGCTCGGAAAGGGGCCGAGGGGCCAGCCTATGCTCTGCTGCCTCCGGACTCCAGGCCCTTCGTGTTCTCTGGGCCCAGCTACGTTCCTGCCTGTGGCCCCCATGAGGTGCCCAGGATGTGTAGGCATATAAAGGCCCACTAAGATGTCCACGTCCCAATTCCCAGGACATCTGAATATACTCAGTTACACGGCAGAAAGCCTGTTTTGTACTGGCCTCGGCCTATCCATAAACAATGTTGTGGCTGTATGGGTCTTATCGCAGCTGCAAGATGCCCGGCAGCAACAGCCACCAGGAAACTGTTGTAAGAAATGTCCAAACCTGTAGAGAATTTTTATGAGTTTATTTGGGCCAAGACTAATGACAGTTGCAGGGAAACAAGACCTCAAACGCTCTACAGAACGGCACTTTGCAGCTTCTTTTAGCATTTGGAATGAAGGACAGAACGTAAGGAAGATTCCAGGAGGGTGGGAGAGAGCACCGCGGAGATTGGATGGCAGGTGGTTAAAATGATGTGCTCTCTCAAGAGTGGCTATGCCTTCCCGCAGTATTACTCCTGGCATCTCAAAGGCATGTTAACCTGGACGCACAAGAACAAGAACAATGCGCAGGGCTGGCTTCAAAGCCTTTCCCTGAAGAAGTTACAGGTCGGGGCATGGCTACCCACCCTGACCTGCCCGGTTAGGAATTTATGATTTATTACAGCACCCCTTTTGTGCGACCTGGAAGTTACACAGCACACCTAGGGCCACAAAGGCAGAGAGAGATCACAGGGGCCTGGGGTTCTGCTTTTATTGGGGTTAAGGGTGGGGGCCTAGGGTCTGGCGGGCTCATTCTTTTTTGGTGAATTTAAAACATAAGAGCTGGAATTTCAAACATGGGAAGATAAAAAAAAAAGTACGTCATATGGTCAGTTACAGAAATCATCCAAGATCCCTGAAATGCGGGGGCCTCAGGGGCACAGGCGGAGGGGTTCTCTGAGAGCCGAGGCCGCCTCTGCCCCCACACTGGCTGCCCAGCCCCTGCCCGGGGTCGGGGCGGCGGTTGTGATCAAGTACAGGAATTCAGGCCCGTCCGGAATGGGAGCCAAGGCTGGCCTCCCAGGACTTGGGATAGAATAATTCAGGAAGGAAACGATGACTTGGCCACTGCTTCCAGCTGACTTGTCCCCTCTGCCATGTGAGGACACAGCGAGAAGGCGGCCATCTGCAAACCAGGAAGTGTCCTCAGCAGAACCCAGCCATGCTGGTGCCCTGATCTTGGCCCGCATAACGGCGAGAAACAAACGTCTGTTGCTTGTAAGCCCTGCCAGGTTGTGGTATTTTGCTAAAGAGCCTGAGTGGCCAGGTTCTTTCCATTCTTGAAAGATCAAGGGAGAGGCCTGGCTGGTTCTTTCTGAGGGCAATGAGAACGTGGGGGTTCTTCACTAGCAGGCATTTCATCGGGAGGTGCTGGAAATCCCTGTCCCCAAAGCCAGGCTCACCACCTCGGAGGCCTATTTTTGTGAATCTGACCTAGGAGCAGGCAGTGCCGAAAGGCGTGCAACAGGGGTGTGCAAGGCCCTGTCGTTAGGGTCCCGTGGAACCTGCAGAGAGAGCCTTGGCCTCTGGGCTCTTGCAACACAGATGGAAAGATTTAAAAAATCAGTATCTGGTGGAGGCCAAATGAATACTGCAAATAAATTTTTAGGAGAGAAAGGCTTGGGGAGCAGGGTTGATCATTAGCAATCAGCACATCCAGCCAGTCCTACAGGTGGGTGATGTGATCCCTAATCCCTGGCGTGGGGTACATTTTTGGCTGTAAGAGAAGCCCCCCATTCCACTGCGCCCCCCACATGTGACTATCACACAATTTCTTTCATCCTCTCCTGTTCTTCACGGTGGTTGTTCACATGGGCGTCACCTCCAGCCGACCCTGGGATTCTCCAGGACAGATGTGAGCGTGGTGTCTGTCTGTCCCTGTGCCCAGCAGGCACCCCAAGCTGTTGTTGAATCCCACGCCGCCTTCGCAGAGGCTGGATGCGTCGGATGGCCCCAGTGAGGAGGCCTGCCAGGCCGAGCAGGACCGTGGAGGGGTTTGGGGAGAATTGGAAATGTGGAAAATGAAGCGCTTTGGCCTTCAGCCAGCGCCTTGCCAGGTGTGTAAAATGCACCTAGTCTTCCGGTGGAAATGCTATCCCGGGACTAGAGCCCAAGGCTGTGGACCGTCAGGAATCCAACCCCAAAAAGGCATGGCCCGGCCTTGTGTCCGTGGGTCCCAAGGCTGTATCTGCCGGGTGAGGCTGGACCATGGCGCAATAAAAAACGACCCCAGTCTCAGTGGCTTAAACAACAAAGGTTTATTTCTTGCTCATACTGCTTATGCACTGTGGGCGGGGCGGGTAGGAGTGGGAGGGCCTGCTCCCCGCAGTCTCTTAGGAGCCCAGGCTGGCGGGCGGGGGCCCCCTACTTTGAGGTGTGCTCCTCCCAGGGCAATTGCACCCAGCTCTTGACGCTTCAGCCTGGAGGTGACTGATCCTCAGTGCTGAGCTGCTAAACTGCCGTGTCCAGCTCTGTCCGCTGGACGCCTCGGCTTGCCCCATCTCTGGCGCCTACAGTGTCAGTCGGCCCCACACAACCTAAGAGTGGCTGTTCTGGGGCCCCGTCCCTCAGTCCTCGGGCCGAGGGATTCCCCGTTAACACCTCTCCACAGAGGAGGAGTTGTCCCACCTCTCCCAGAAACATCCAGAATGTTCCCAGTCCTTCTCCTGAGTCTCTCTCTCCCGAATCTCTGGGGAATGGATTGTTCCTGCGAACTGGGAAACAGGGATATGTTGGCCACATCCACCCTCTGCTGCTCAGTGCCTCAGTTTACCCATACATAAAATGTGGGCTGTATCTGTCCCTTCTCACATTACAGAGATTCAAAGAACAATAATCATAAAGTGCTGGCTGGCTCTTTGGAGAAAGGGGCTCTATCTACTGTCACGGTTCTGCCCTCTAGTTCCCCACCCCCCAGCATCTGGAACCTTCTGGAGTGTGCTGCATGGGCCATGCTAGAGAGGGGCACCCAGAGACTCTTGGGGGTTGGCAAGTGAATGGCCTCAGGCCTGGGAATGTTCAAACACAGACAGCAGTGCCCCCCGAGTGCCTGTTGTTCAAAGGGATGCAGGGTCAAGGCTGCTGGTCATTGAGGAGAGGTCCTGGGGCCCGACGATCCGGGCAGGCATCCTCGGTGGGCGGCTGGGACAGGGACCCTTCAGAAGTGAGGGGAGGCCTGGAGAAATGGCCTCCAGATGGGGGCCGCCCTGGGCACCAGGCCCAGCTGCTCGAACTGCAGCCTCATGGGCCGGTAGGCGTTGAGGTTGCTGTAGAGAGCAGGTGCGCCATTGTGGGGCCTCAGGGGGAAGGGGGCCTGTGGGGCCAGAGCCCCCCAAAGACCATGGTAGGGCTGAAACCTGGGGGGTGGAGGGGGGTTCGGCGCCTGGGGGCTGCTCTGCCCTGAGGACAAGGATAGACTCTGGTTCTGGGGGTTGCTTCCCGTCGATGGGCTGCTGAAGGGGTCAGTGGAGGAGCAGCTGCTGCCACTGAGGCGGCCTGGTTTGGGTCTGAGTCCCGCTCGGGGCTGCGGCGGTGTGACCAGCCGGGGGGACTTCAGGCCCATCACCGGCTTGGAGGAGGCGTAGAGGTGGCGGAACTCCTCGTCAAACAGCTCCACCGCCTGCCCCGTGAACTTGGAGAGGATGTTCCGGTGGACGTGCCCGCAGAGCCAGGTGAAGCTGTGGGAAGGAGGAGAGAGGGAGGGCGGGAATGGGGGGCCACTGCTGGGCCTCTGGGGCCTTCCTTCGGGCGATGTGGGGGCAATGGCAGGACTGGTGAGAGGGGTTCCCATGCCCGCTGGCCCGCTGTGGCCTCATGTCATGCTGGCCGGAGCCCTGGCAGGAGGGAGGCAGTGGGGGCCCCTCCCACGAACGTCCGCTGGGGAGTGACGAAGACGCCAGGGTGACTCTCTGGCCTCAGGTCAGGGTCCCCTCCTGGTGCTCGGATTATGGCCCCTTCAGAGACACAAAGGGACTGAGTGCCAGCTGAGTCCTGGTGTCCCGGACTCTGCGCTCATATGAGCCATCTATCCGCTGGGGCCTCGGTGGCTGCACCCGTGAAACGTGGGCACACCTGCCTCTTCTAACCAAGCGGGGCTGGAGGAGCCAGCTGCTCCTGGAAGGCAGGGGCAGTGCGTCCATGAGAGTTTGAGGCGGAGAGGGAGAATCCTACGCTCTTCGGGAGGTGGGAGAGGGAATACAGGGCGAGCCCACGGGGACCAGGTGCGAGTGCATTTGCTGGGACACCCACGAGAGGAGGTCTTGTCCCTCCCTCCACCTGCAGGTTTTAAGTGAAAACAAAATGCTCAAGGCATTTATGTATTACTTTCTATGATTCCCTGATTTAACCAAATTCCTCTCTATTGCTGATGGAAAACTCCCCTCACCACTTCCCTCCCCCCAAAAAACAACCCTTGAAAATGTCTGGCAACAGCACATAAGACCCATCAAGAACATTGGGTTAGAGATTCCTGTGTCCCTCATAATGTGGACCCAGGCATGGGGAGCAATGGGGGCAGATGGACAGAGGAGGACAGGTCATCCTCAGGGACAGCGCCAGGGCCGAGCAGAAACAGCCCCCACCAAGGGTCTCGGCCTCCAGCCCCAAACCCACGTCCTGCCTCACCAATGAAAGGCAGGCCCAGCCTGCAGGGCCCCAGGTCTGAGAGGCAGGGTGGGGCCCCCAGGAGGCTGGGGCAACCCTGAGGAGAACAATGAGGCTTTGTTTAAACCTCACATCCTGCCTGAGAGCCACCCACGCAGCCCCAGACTGATGAGCGGTGGATGCTGAGCCTCGGGCCAACCCGGTGACAGGGAAGGTAGCAAAGACAGGGACAGTGGGACTCCTCGGTACAGGAAGAAATCGAACGCCCTGCTTGTTTGGAATCAGGCTAGATTAGGTCAACGACTACACGCTTTGCTCAGCAAAACAGGTCCAAAGGTGCCCTGGCAACTTTTCATGTCCCCATGCATCTTGTGCACCCTGCGCCCCGCCCCTGAGCCCTTGGCGCCCCCGGCCCCTTGTGTGCCCCAGGGCACTATCAGGGAACCCCCAGCACGCACTCTGTGTCCAAATATCCCCTGTGCTAGCTTTTAGAGTCTCTTTTCTCTCCACCAATTATATGAAATACATTTTATTTTTATTGGTTTGGGGCCCTTACGTACATAGAATTGACTTAATCATAACCTTTGGCTCAAGACCCACTCTCTGAAAGGTCACTGCTTCGATTCTCAGTCAGGGCACAAGCCTGGGTTGTGGGCCAGGTCCCCAGCTGCGAGCAGGTGCTCACTGAAGTTTCCCTCCCTCTCTTTCACCCTCCCTTCCCCTCTCTCTAAAAATAAATAAATAAAACCTTTTAAAAAATAAATAAAAGCTAGCATGTGAACAGTAACTACATCAAACCATATCAAAGTTCCTGTAAATCCAACATTTGGCATTGTCTTATTTTTTTTTTGCTAGTTAAAAAGGTATAAAATGGTAACTCCTTCTAGCCTTGATTTGCATTTTTCCTGATCCCCGCTGATGCTGAACATGTCCTCATCCTGTGTTTCCACATGTGTCTTCCTGGTGAAATGCCTGCTCACCTCCCTCGCCCACACTTCTGTTGTGCTGTTGTGATTCGTGCGAGTGCTTTGCGATTCTTGGCACTAATCCCGTCAGGACCTCATAAAAACCTGCTCCCAGGTTATGATCTGACTTTCTACCTTCTCTGAGATGTCTTTCCATGAACCAAGGTTCTTAATTGCAATGTAAGCACATTTAGCAATCTTTTACAGTCAATGCATTTTTTGGTTCTGTTTACCACAGACAGCTAATCTTTACGCTAAATTCTTAAAAAAAAAAAAAAAAAAGGAAAGAAAAATATCATCTGCCGCAGCTGGTGTGGCTCAGCGGATTGAGCGCCAGCCTGAAGACCAAAGGGATGCCAGCTCGATTCCTGGTCAGGGCATGTGCTAGGGCGCGCGAGAGGCAACTGATGGATGTTTCTCTTGCACTCTTCCCCTCTTTTCCCCTCTCTCTAAAAATAAATAAATAGCATCTTTAAAAATAATTAAAAAATTTAAAATAAAGTCTTGCCCCATATGCTGTGGCGCGGTGGACTGAGTGCTGGCCTATGAACCAAGGGGTCGCTGGTTCAGTTCCCAGGGTAGGGCACATGCCTGGGTTGTGGGCCAGGTCCCCAGCAGGGGGTGCGTGAAATGCATCCACACATTGATATTCCTCTCCCTCTCTCTCTCCCTCTTTTCTCCTCTCTAAAAATAAATAAATAAAATCTTAAAAAAAGGAAAATAATTAAAAAATTTAAAATCATCTATATTTTCTACTAAGAGTTTTAAAGTTTGTTTTTGACATTTAAGTCCTTTTAATCTATTGGTTTGTGGGGTTTTTTTTTGTATATGTGTGAAACAGAAATCAAATTTTCCATATCAAGAATTATTTTTTTCCAGTTTCTTCTTTCCCCACTGCTCTGATGCGCCCTGTTGTATGTGCTCTGGGTCTGTGCCTGGGCTTCTCTATTCTGTTCCATTTGTCAGTTTGTCTTGCCATGGAGCTGCAGTAATTAAGACATATTAAAACAGCTCCATGACAAGGCCTGATCTCTGGTAGGGCAAGTCCTGCCTGTTCCTCTTCAGACTTATCTTGGTTACCGTTGGAGAAATACACTTTACACTGTGGCCTACTCACATATACAAATACATACATAACCACAAAATAATTTCCAGAACCTCCCTTACCTCAGTGTGCTCTATTTTTATTCTACTCTATTTCATTTTTTTTTAAAAAAGGAAAAAACTAGGCATCATCCCCTAAGTTGATTTCATACCCTGCCAGCGGACAGTGATGCAGTGTGAAAAACTGCTTCTCTAGCCACCCTGGATGCCAGGAGCTAACATGGACTCTCATTCACTTATTCATTCATGGAGAATGTGCAGACAGTGCATTAACTGTACTCCCTGCCAGGGACGCAGTAGAGAAGAAAACAGACCCAGTCCAGGCCCCAACAGCATGTTGTTTACCATGTTGGCTAAACAAGTCCACAGAGCAGTTCTTTAGGGAATGATCCAGAAGCTGCCACCTGCAAGATAAGTCAGCAGGATAAAGACAGTAGAAGGAAGCAGAGGAAGAAACAGCAAGTGCGAAGGCTCTGAGGCATGAAAGGGTGGGGGGTTGGGCGGAGGCCAGTGTGGCTGCAGCACAGGGGCGGGGGAGAATTTTGCTGCCAGGAGAGCACAGTGAGAGCGTGGACTTTTTCTAGGCTCAGTGACCAGCCTGGAAGGACCTTAGGGATGATTCAACCTGGTTTGTGCTTAAAAATCCTTGTGTCCCTGTCCCAGCGATGGTAGGTCAGGGCAGAAGCAGAGTCAGGGGCCAGTTAGAAGGCCATGCTGGTAGGTTCCATGCTGTTCCAGCTGCCTCATTTTGCCCCTCGTCCCTGTCCCAATCTTTCTCTTGCTCCAAGGCCCACTCCCCTCTCCTAGACCTGGTAGCAGAAGGGGGACTCCTTCCTGCCCGACCCAGAGCACCTTCTTAGCTCCTGCTGAACTCGGGGCACACGCCACCCACCTCCATGTTTTGAGGAGAGAGGAGCTCTGAGCCCCCAGCACCTGGCAGCAGTGCCTGTGCTGGGGGAAGACCCTCAGCAGGAACTTAAATGTTGAAATGCGCCCAGGGCCTGGTCCAAAGCTCGCGCAGGGTGGCTGGGCCCTGTTCCGCTGGCACCGAGGGCTGGGGCCAGCCCCGCAGGTGAGCTCTGGAAGGACAGATGCCAAGGAAGACCAGGCTTAGCTCCCCCTACCGAAAATACGGTTTTCCCCTCCCCATTTTCTCTTTTGGAATTTCTTTCTCTGTCCTTTTTAACTGCATGGAAATCTTTTAATGGCTCAATAAGACTCTTGCCAGTCTCACAACTGGTCGCTAGAGGTTGAGGAGAGCGGGGAATGGGGAGTGACTGCTTAATGGTGAAGAGATGTGGCTATGCAATCCCAGAATATATATGTCTCTCTGGCATGAAAAATACCTTAAGCCGAAGGGATTTGAGAAACAGAGCTGGGAACTGACTTGTAGGCTGGGCTGCTGCCACCCATAGGTCCCACGGAATTTGGCGCTGCTCTGACAGGGCCGGGGAGAAGGGAGGGAAAGCTGGCGGTTGGGGGCCACCGAGAGGGGTGCTTGTCATTTATCTAGGACACTGTGACAGTTCAACAAGCGCGGGCCATTCTGAAGTGAGAGGAAGGCTGCCTTGCTGCTGTCCCGTCTTCTTGGGGACCACATGTCCCCTCCCCCAGCCAAGGTGACATTGTCCAGGTCTGCCCTGCTTGGTAGCCCCTCAGACTCACCCTTTTAGATCTGTCCCCTTCCCTTGGGACCTTGCCGGGGTACTGGCTGGCTAATAGCAATCATTTATTGAGCACCTACTATGTGCTAGGAGCTATGCCACATGTTTTGCAAACTTTATCTGCAAGAGAAGATATCGTAACCCTCCCCTCCATTTTACAGATGAGAAAAGTGATGCTATAAAAAGAATTGGATCGCACCCTTCTTGGGATGAATATTCTGGTATGTGGATTACATCTCAATAACTTTGATATATTAAAATAAAACACTTGAAAATAAAATGGAGAACACAAACACATGCCCCCAAACAAACTGCATGATTTTATAATCACACCTGAAAGAGCTAAGGAGGGAATAAGAGGATTCTATGTCTTCTTGCAATATCAAGGGAAACTGATGCACCAGATGCTTCTACCCTGAAGTCCTCCCAGGAAAGGCCTGCCCTCCCTCTTGGGGGCTGCGGTGGGGGTGGAGGCTCGGGGGAGGGGTGGCGGGCGGTGCCTGAGCACCCAGACGGGTCTGCACCACGCTCAGCCTTGGCCTCCACGAAGCCTCAGCAGCTGAAGCCCAGCGCTCACCTGTACGACCCAGAAAGGACGTATCTCCAGTCCGAGATCATGAACTTCTCCTGGACCTGGCCGGCGAACTTCCTCCCTGACTTGGCGCAGTACACCTCCGCCTCCACGCTCCGCACCGAAATGTTCTGTTGGAAGGAAAGGCGGGGCGGCGCTCGCTAACTGTGTTCACGGATATGCGTTGACCTTGGACAAAGTCTGAGAGGCACCCCCAAATACAAACAGGGGGTGCCTCTAGGTGGTGGGATTATGGGCCATTTAAATTATTTCCGGGGCTAAATTTTCTACATTTCCTTCATTGTCCTGACATTACCCAAAGTAACGGAGGGCGGGGAGGAGGGAGGGAAGCGGGGGATGGCAGAATTTTTAAAAAGCAGAAAATAGAAGACGAAGGCCGGGGGCCCATGGAGCCCTCAGTCTGGGCTCCCTGGACCACAGAGGTCAGGCAGGCCCAGCCTTGCCCTGTAAGTGACTTTAGTGACGTGAGTCTCTGACCCCAAGCTGGTCAGAGGGAAGGCTCAGAGCAGCCAGGGGAGGCAGCTTTGTGGGGACCTCAATGGACCCTCAATTGTTTTGTCTAAAAAAAGGCCTGTCCGCGACCCAAATCACAGGGGTCCTATTTGTCCCCTTCCTCCCCAGCAGCCCCTGCCGCCCCAGCCCTCAAGAACCCTTGGGAGGCTGGAGAAATGTCTGGCGGGGGGAGCACGGGCTCTCGGGGGGAGGCGGAGCGCTGCTGAGACCACGGGATGCCTGAGGCTGCCGGGGGGGCGGACACCAGCACCCCCCCGCCAGCATCGCCAGCATCGCCAGCACCGCCAGCACCGCCAGCACCGCCAGCACGGCCAGCACGGCCAGCATCACCAGCATCACCAGCACCGCCAGCACCGCCAGCATCACCAGCACCGCCAGCATCGCCAGCATCACCAGCCTCTCTGTGAGCTCTGAGATGTTGAGATTGCGAGATTGTGAGATTGAGGGAGGAGGGCCACATCCCACTGTCCCTGGGTGGGCAGAGGGCTGTCAGGTGCGGGCGCTGTGAGCGGAGCTGCGAGGGCCTCATGCTGAGCAGGTCAGATCCAGGTAGCATCAGGCAGACCCAGTAACAGAGGACCCGGGGCCTGTGGCTCCAGCAGGTGCCTGAATTCAGCTGCTGCTGTCAGTGTGGAGGGGACAGGAAGGAGGGGAGGAGGAGGGCGGGGTCTCCAGGAGGCTGACTGGCCTGAGCTGGAAGGTTGTCAGCAAGGGGACCCCCCACCAGCTGTTCACCTGGCCTGCTCATAAAGGCCACCAGTGCTTTGACATTTGACCTTGAATTAGCTGCCCCAAGTTTAACACACTAAGGGAACGTTTATCTCTGGGTTTCTTTTCTCATTGCCAGAAGAAGGAAGTGGGGAGTTGGGGGTAAGTCCAAGAGGATTAGCTTCCTGTGGGGGCCATGGAGTCCCGGGCACGAATCAAACAGGTCCTGGGTGTTGTCCTGCGCATGAAGCGCATCCACTGGGCTTGCTCGGCTGGGAGCTGCAAAAGGCGGATGTGGCAGAGGCTGATGCTCACCAGCTGTCCCCCTGCCCTTTGTGCGTCCCAGCCCTGAGCAGCTAGGTGAGGTCAAAGGGCTGTGAGCGAAAGGGATGGAAATCTCTTCCAGGTCAGGTCTCCTTCCTGCAGGACCCTCCTGCGCCCTCTCTCCCATCACTGCAATCTAGGAGGCCGCGTATTCCCCGTGATGTAGCTACAAATGAGGGAGGGCCATTTGGCCTACACTTGGAGCAAGAAATAAACTTTTACTTTGTGAAGCCATTGGCATGGTTGCGGAGAGTCTGTTACCATGGGACAGCCTGTCTTGTTCTCACACAAGTACCTCTTGGACTCTCCTTGGGGGCCCCTACCTTGAGGTGACTGTCCGAGATCTGCACTTTGTCACACATCTCCTGGAAAAGCCTCACACCACCCTGGTCCAGGAGCACGCAGACGAACACCCCGCGCTTGTTGGCCGCCTCTAGAATGTCACAGAAGATCTCCACGTCTGTGAACACGTCCATCAGGATGGCCAGAACCTGGGCGGGGGAGAGCGGTCCAATACCAGAAGGGTCAGGCCCAGGCGCTGACTGGTTTCAGCCCAACTTCCTCGGTCCCCATGGGCCTGCGAGGCCGGTCCCACTGGGCCTGCGTTAGCCGGGAAGGGAGGGTGGGGGAGGGCCTGACAGGCAGGATTCAAGGAAGGGAGAGGGAGAGCTGGAGAGCAGGCCCCTGCCTTTGTCCTGACCCCGCCCTCCAGCCCCGCCAGCGCCCCTGGCCTCCCTGCCCACTGTTGGAGTAGAGAATGCAGAGCAGGAAGGGGAGAAAAGCGAAAAGAGAGGGAAAAGGAAGAAGGGGAGGTGCTCAGGCAGGTTCAGAGGAGAGGGGCAGGCTTGATGTCGTGGATTCTCTGCCATCTGCAGCTCTGTAGCACTCTGTGGCCATTGGTTTTCCTATGTTTTTAAGCCGTGGAATCCTTGCCTCAGACATAATCCTTGTAGAGACTCCATACCTTTCCCACACCTTGCCCTAGGCATCTCTTCCGTCCGAATCTTCTGGAGTTATATATCCTTTTGTAATAAATCAGCCGTCTAGTAAGTAAAATGTTTCTATGAGTGCTTTGAACCACTCTCAGAAGTTAACTGAACCCAAAGAAGGGGTCACTGGAACCTCCAACCTGTAGCTGGTTGTCAGAAGCACAGGTCACAATATGGGCTTGTCCCTGGCGTGAGCTGAGCTGGAGGACACCCGGTTGGTGTTAGAGAAGTGCTTGGTGATGTGGGGAAAACCCCAGCACCGTGGAGGTTTTGCTAATTCTGCACGCAGTGGAACTGGAGCAGAATTAGATTTTCTTTTTTTGTCACCCAATGAAGAGTCCTTCCTACTAAGACAAAAGCCACTTTCTTAGGCCCTCTTTCCCAGAGCTGGCTAGACCCACCAAGCAAGACTGACCCTAATTGTTTTATGAGCCTTTATCCTCAGGACTAGAAAATTCCTGCAAGTGCCCTGAAGGCTCAGAGGCTCCGGGAACCCATGAGACAGGACATACCAGACCATGAAGAACAGACCCCAGGCTACAGTGACCAGACAACCAGACCCTGTACCCGACGATAACATCAAAATAGGACATACCACACCACAGCGACCAGACCCCAGGCCACAGCGACCAGACAACCAGACCCTGCACCCAAAGATAACATCGAGACAAGTTGCAGCCCAACAGAAACACCCTGCTCTCCAACCACCCCATTACCCGGTAAACACTCGGAGCCGGGACCCCTCAGGGCTGGGGCCGGTGCCGGCGCATATTTCCACTCTGAGCCCTTTCCCTCCCGTGGGAAAGTAAAAATAAAACCTTTACTCTCTGCACCTTCTTCTCTTTGTGAATTCTTTCACGGTCCATATCACCCTAACTTCCTAATACTTCCTAATACTTCCTTATACTTAAATTGTGGTCTATTGACAAATCAATTATTACGATAATTATCATGGTTCTATAGAAACTGTAAGACTGGATGAAATGTTAAAATAAAACGTGCTGTGTAATACATGCTCAACAAACATGTATTAACAAGTAATGAAGTGAATTGAAAAAAAAAAAAGCACAAAATGGCGGTATGTCCACTATGGTTGCCAGTAAGGGGAAACGGTGGGCAGATAGATAAACACAAAACCCAAAGCAGCAGTCAGGATTGATTGGTGGGCCATTGGGATTTTTTTTCTTCAGCGGTACCCGTGATAATCAAGTTCCACCCTTCACAGCGGCAGCCGAAGGAGGTGGCTGGTGCCCACTTGGAGCTGACTTGCTGTTCTGTTGATGTGCGGCGTGGGGACAGGATAGGGACCGGCTGATAAACCTCGCACCATGGGCTAGAAGTCAGCCAACGTGTTCTCACAGTGAGGCGCATGAACCTTGAGGACTGTGCCCTGTGTGGCGTGAGCATGTGCCTGTACACATTAAGTTTATGACACCAATAACCCCCGAGGTCCTCTCTGCTGAAGGACAAGTGCCTCCTCAGCCAAGTTCTCTATGAGAGAGACAATCCTCTCGCACCAGGATGTCAGTAAACCCTCTCAGTCACGTTCCAGTGAGTCCTTGCTTCCCTGAGAGTTTCTGGTCAGGTGGCCTCACTCCGTCCCTGCCTGAGCCCGACCCGCCTCCCTCGTCCCACTGCCCACCTCCCTCAGACCTGCTGGCAGTGCCCCAGTAATGTGTGGGGGGCGGGGGAGGGACCCAGCCCATCCAGGGCAGGGGCGCAGCCTGAAAAGACTGTCCTTGAGCCCTGGGGGTGGGGAGCTCCTGCCCCCTGGACCCTCTGCAGGCCCCACTCCCCTCCCAGAGGGCTCAAGGGTTTCCTTTCTCCAGCGAGCCTGTATTTCTTGCCCAGAGAAAGAAATAAGTGGTTAAAAAGGGCCTGGCTGAAAGGGTCCCAGGATCCGGGATCCGCCATGCTTGGAGGCTGTATTAATCAAGGCTTTTGTTTCTCATATTTTATGATGCTGTGACATCACAGAGACAGCCGGATTTCTAGAGCTAGCAAACACCTTGTCTATGAGCACGTCTTTGATATGCAAACCAAGCAATCCAGAGCCAATACTCCAATGGCCCCGACATGTAACTCTCGCACAAGTGCCCCTGCCGTTTACCATCCAGGGCCAGGCCCTGGACAGCCAGGGGCCACCGGGAGGCCAGAGCCTGCGAAATGACTCAGTCCAGCCAACTGTACACCGTTTACTGTGCTCTGCCCTGTCGTCCTGCAAAACCAAAAGGCTTGTGCCCCTCCTCTCCCTTTGCTCGTGCTGGTTCCTGACCACCCTGCTGCTTCCTGGGGGGCCCTGCATGGCTCTCTGTGCCTTCTACTTCTAGGGACTGTGTGTAGGAGCCTCTTCCTCCATGTCTGTGTGGCTTCCTGCTCCTGGTTAGAGCAAAGCTCAGGCACATTTAAGAGCGAAGAGCTGTTGCTCACTCTTTGGCCCCAAGCATAAGGCACAGCAGCAGCTTCAAGCCCCATGACCTCTGATCCTTGTCCCCACCCTCATCACTCCCTGAGTTGCCATGTCAACAAGCTCTGTCCCACCAGATGGAGGATGCTGTGTTCCCACCTCCTGGACCCTCAGGTCCCCTCATACCTGACCTTGGTGCTCAACCTTCCCTAGGCCTGCAATTCCTTCCCCTTCCCTCTCTGCCCGGCAAACTCTTACTCAGCCTTTGAGACACAGCTCAGAGGCCACCTCTGCGTGAAGCCTGCTTAGTCACCTCCTGTCCACTTCCAGGCACAAAGGGTTGCTCCAGCTCAAGGCCGCCGCCCATGAGTGCATTCCACCTCTCCTCCCTTGCCCTCCTCCCCTCTCCTCTCTTCCCTCCTGGAGCAGTTCGCAGGGAGCCCCCCAAAGGGAAGGAGGCTTCTTGCTCTCTGCTCTGCCATCCCCGCTTGGCTGACCGAATCTCAGGCACCATGACTGGAAGGTGGTCAGGAGTTCTCAGTGTCCTAGATGAAGGGCTGTAAGTGGCTGTCTGCTGCCAGCTGCAGCTCCTTCTACCCCAGGTGCACAGAATGACTCTAGATACCCGCTCCGCCCTCCCGGAGCGGCAGACGGGCGGGAAGGACTCCCGGGGAAGAAATGTGTCAACTGTAAAGATGCCCCCTCTCCGTCTTTGTCTCTTGTCACTTAAATTTTAAAATTGGGTTACATTGAAAAGAACTCAGAAAAGAACAAGCTGATATTTAAAGGTTTTTCTGGTGGTTGTTTTTTGGTTTTTGCTGGGGTCCCAAGTTTAATTCCGTGTGAAATCAGCAGGCTCCAGAAAAATCCACCAGGGATGGGGAGGTTGTGTGTAGATGGGGAGCGAGGGAGTGGAGTTATGGAAAATTTAAACAGGAGGCAACATGGGTGGAGTGTTGATTTTTCTTGTCGCTGGGCTGCTTCAGAGCAGCGTCTCCTGTTTTTGTGGCAGGGCGGCAATAGGAATTGACAGATGGTCCGAGGCAGGCAGCCAGGGGTGTGGGCCCTGCCTACGAGGGGCTGGCTGCATGGCCTGGGGCAAGTCCCTCAGCCTCCCCAGGCCTCAGATTCCTCTCCGGACCAAGGTCCCTTCCAGCTCCCGGGCCTGTTGCTAGGGTGCTGGCCGCGGCTTCTCTGTGCACGGACAGGAAGTTCGGGGCTCTCCCGGGGGCCATGGGTGTCGGGGAAATTCTTAGCTGGGGCTGCTGCTCACAGGGGGAGCGACCGTCCCTGGAAGGAAGCCAGGCAGGGGCTTGTGAAACACAATCCGCTGGCAGAGCCCCTCTCTTTCCCCGAAGCCCCACCCAGCAAGGCTTCTCCCCCGGCCTCTGTGGCCCGAGGCCACTGATGTCCTTTCTTTCAGCAACACAGCATGTTAGGAATTTAAGACACGGACAAATCAGATTTCACCTAAAAGCAAGAATTTCCAGCTCCCCTTAGCAGCTAGGTAGAAGACCTGACTGTCGGTGCTGAGCTGTGGCCACCTCTTTGAGTGGCCACAGACCCCACCACTGCCTCTGGTCCGAGGTCCCCATGAACTTTACCCATTTTGTTGCCGGTCAGGCCTTTGCAGGCAGAGTATGTGACATCTGCGCGCACACGTGTGCACACACAGACACACATGGCGGCTTAAGGGTGGGCTGCCCCCACTTAGACGCCCAGGGGCTGGATTCCCAGCCACAGGCTGCCCGTGAAAGCAGGCTGTGACCCCGGCCGAGACCTCCAGTGGCTCCCAGTTGCCCACAGTGGGAAGAACAAACCCCTTAGCAAGGCTCACACCCCCTCCAGCTCCTCTCCCACCTCCCACCACTCAAGGCTGCGTGACAGGCACGCTCAAGCCCACCACGCTCTGTGCTCAGGCCTTCGCGTGTGCTGTTCCTTCTGCCTGGGACTCCCCGCCTTCCCTGCCTTTTGCCCAACGGATGCCTGCTCTTTCTCAGGACCCGAAGTCCGTTTCCCAGGAAGCCTTTCCTGAGCTCCCAGGCTAGACCAGGTGCCCCGCCTCCCTGCTTTCAAATGAAGGGTCGCTCCACAGAGGCCCGTACTTGTTCCTTGTCCTCTCTGACTTTGCTTAGCTATCTCTGTGCACAAGTGACCGTGACGCGCCTGAACCCATTGGTGGTCAGGCAGAAAAGGGATGAAGTTAGATTTGAAGTCTAGAAGGAGTGTTTCCAGCAGCAGGCAGCCTGGGTAGCTGCGGATCAAGAAGGAAGACAAAGGCCAGGCAGGAAACTATTGTGGGGGGTCTCAGTCATGGGGGCGGCAGCCGGGACCAGGCTACAACAGATAGAATCAGGAAGTCAGCGATCCCTGGTAAGACAGAGAGTGACTTCCCTGACTCCATCGCTTGGAATGGGACGCGCCCCCCCCTTCCTCCTGCACCAGCTCCCATTCCCACCCCGCCCCTGGCCAAGGAGACACAGGCTGGGCTCTCGCTACCTGGCTGGTCCGACTGATGCAGCGCCGGATGAGGTCTCTGATGTTGTGCTTGTCCGTCTGGAAGTACACAGTGGCGCTGGACTTTTCCTTCAGGTAGGGTTTCTCAGCTGAAACCCAGGTGTGCAGCAGGGCAGGCTCGCTGCCCTCTGAGGCCGCAGGGTAGTAGGTGCCTGACTGCAGGGAGCCGGAGTCGAGTCCGTTGGTTCCTGCCTCGGCCCCTCCTGGGGTCTCGGGAGTATAGGGCGGTTCCTTGGCCTGGGCCTGGATGTACTGGGCCTCCACCGAGGACAGGAAGTCCACCTCGCCTTCCTTGCGGAGGACCTGCCAGTAGGCCTCCGGCCCCCCATCCAGGAGGGCATCTGTGGCCAGCCGGGCGCTCTCGTTGTCGCTGAAGTCAGTCCTGGCTGGCCGGACCCACTGGCTCTTGACATCTTCCAGGCGTTTGCGGATCTTGCCCACGTGTCTTGACCGGCTCATGCTGCTCTGTCCTGAGTCGCAGTGGGGAGGCTGGCACGCCAGCTGTTCTTGGTGTCAGCGGTAAGCAGGCCACGCTGCCGAGAGGAGTGGAGCTCCTAGCCCTCCTGGAAGGCACCCAGCTCTCAGGCCTGGTGTGCACCCAGCATCCAGGCCTACCTGCCGCCCCTCACGCCCGCTCTGAGGAAGTGATTCCCGCTGTCCTGAGCAATGCTTCCCAGGGATCACCAACTACAGGCAGGGGTTGGCTTATCTCTGAGTTACACCTGCCCTGCCCGCAGGCCAGGGGGGCTGGCTCAATCACGCCTTGGCACACTCAGCCCTGGGAGAGTCCCCTCCTCCCAGCGGCAGTGGGAGGCCAAGGTGAGCCAGGTTTCCCGCTCGCTCATTGCACAACTCTCCAGGAGACCCTCGGTCTTTGTGACAAACCAGCGCCCCATCATCCCTGTGCTGGGTCCCCTCCTGTGCTCCTCAGTTCGAATAACGACAGCTTCAAAGACCAGAATGTCCCTGTGGGGGACAGGCTGCCCCTGAGATCTGCCTCCCGACCTGTGTGAGCAGGGAGGCTGGATGCAGGCCAGGTGCTCCGCCTTTCTATCGGTAACACCCAAGTTCCCGGTCCTTCTTGTCCTCTGAAAAGCTCGTCTCTCCCATCTCTCTCCCATATTGTGATTGTCATGCTTGTGCTTGAACTGAGCCCACAGAGCAGTTCCAGGTCTGGGGCCAGAGCTGAGAGGAAGGACCAAGCCGCTGCGTCTGGGCCATCGGACCAATAGGATCCATCTGTCTCCCTGTTGTTGGGGGGCGGAGGCGCAGGTGGCAATGGTGTGTCTGAAATGTGGGAACTCCTACGGGAGAAGCCACATTTTCTTTCTAGAGCACATCATGGTCGAGTCCATGTCAAAGGAATGCGCTATCTACAGTCCTGACTGTCTTTGATTGGGTTCTGCCAGAACAGACTCTGAGGCTAGGATTCCAGTGCAGCCATCCCTCTGTATCTATAGGAGATTTGTTCCAGGACCCCCACAGATACCAAAATCCGTGGATGCTCAAGACCCTTATATAAAATGGGATATTATTTGCATATAATATATGCACATTCTCCCTCCTTAATACTTTAAATCTCTAGATTATTTTTAGTACCCACTACAATGCAACTATTATATAAATAGTTGTTATACTGTATTATTCAGGGAATAAGGACCAAAAAAGTCTGTCTCTATGCAATACAAAGGCATCCATTATAGGCCTAACTACATCATACGCATCAGAAACAGTGTAACATCTTTCTTTCTTTTTCTGAAAATGCTTGATCAGTGGTTGGTTGAATCTGCGGATGCGGAACCCACAGATAAGGACCCACAGATAGGGACCTGCAGATGCGAAGGGAAGGTCACCAACTGGGAGGTGATCCCAAGAAGCACTGACAGGGGAGGGGAGAGTGAGGCAGGAAGGGAGGGAGCCACTCTCGGGCTTGCCGAAGCGCAGGCCACCCCGTGGGGCTATGAACCCCTGTGGGAGCGCCCGCCCGGGGTCCAGTCCTGCCAGCACCGCTGGGAGACCGTGTGGAACACATCTCAGGTTACTTGGGCCCAGAGGGCGAGAAGGCTGCAGAACTTGTCCACCGGCCTCCATTTGTCATTGGGCTAGGGCAACACCTGGAACCCCACTAATTCCCCGCGCTGCCGGCCGCCCCGTGCACTCACCAAGCACAGTGTGAAGCCAGGGAAAGCCTCGGGCAGACTGACACGTGTGAACAGGAGGAGACGGTGGGAGCGGCAGGTGCCAATGGGGTAACAGCCGGGCACTGCCAGAATCTGCTCAGACAGCTAGGCCGGACACCAAGGGCTGTGCAGCCTTCAGGCCGCGGGCACAGGAGGAGCGAGGTCTCTCTGTGGTTTATCTACTCTTCGGAGGAAAATTGCTAAAAGCATCACTAACTTCCCCAAAGCCATGGCCCAAGTGGCTCAGTCCAGGGGTAAAAGAGTATTTTCAAAATCACAGTTCAAATACAAGGAATTTTAGAAGAATTTCTTCTCCTGTTTTGATGGACGTTGAAGGCAATCAACTCATGACCTTGAGTGACCCTTTATTTCATTTTTACCTCCTCATCACAATACCTGGAACCTTGAAGAGGACAGACCTAATGAGCTCTCTCTCGCTGCTGTCCCTTCGGTGTCATGCCAAGACGCTCGATGAGCCCTTTAGAACAGACAGCAAGCACCCTGGGCATGTGCTATCACTTCCAACCCCCATTCCTGTGCTCCCGGCAGACACTGCTAACTGATCGGGGAACTCTTTCCTGGGGGCTGGGGACCACCCGCTGATCTAGAAGGAATCTTGGATGCACTTCAAGTGCTCCAGCTTACTAATGCGTAAACTGCAGCCCAGAGAGGGGAGGTGACTATCCTCAAAGTCACAGAGCTGGCCAGAGACTGTCCTCAGCATTGTTCCTCGTCTCTTCTCCTCTGTAACCCCAGCCCTGTGAAGTGACATCATTCTTGCTGGGCCCACTGACTGAAATAACAGGTCCCCCCACCCTACCCCCGCTGCCAGCCCCTGGGATTGCAAGTCTGGACCTGGGAGCCTGGCCAGCTGTTGAGCCACACTTTCCATGTATGTCCTCATCAAAGAGCCCTCAGTTACAGGAATCGAGGATTATGAAGAGTTTGCCTTCTCTGTCTCGTGGCCTGAAGCGTAGTCTTTTCTGCTCATGAGTACGTCCGATAATGGGGAAAAGAAGGAGAAAACAGGCTCCTAATAGCAAATGAGTGGGGTTGGGGTTTCCTTTATTAGGGCAATGGTTCTCAAAGACGGGGTGGGGAGGTTATTTGGATCCTCCCACTGGAGGGCATCTGGCAATGTCTGGAGACATTTGTGGTTGTCACCACTGGGGGGTAACGCTACTGACATCAAGAGGGTATAAGCCAGGGACGCTGCTACATCTCACAATGCAGGGGACAGCCAACAGGAACTACCTGGCCCCGAATATCAACAGTGCTGAGACTGAGGGACCCTGATCTAGGGGGTGACTGACCCTCATCCATGTGGGAGGTCCAGTCTGTCCCCTTGTCTTCATCTAGCCGCTCCCCTCGGAAGGAAATCCTTGCCTCCACCTCAGCAACTCGTCCAAATCTTTCTCAGCGTTCAAGGTCTCTCGTGACTCCCACCTACGCAAGCGAGCCTTCCCTGACAATTCCTCTTCTGTGCCTGCCGGGCGTTGGTGGCCCTCATCTCCGTCAGCCTTGGACTTGTCACGGGTGCTCTGTCTCATCGCCCCATGGCATTTCATTCCTAGAATGTACAAAGGCAAAAAAGCCTCCATGACGTCAGTACCAGGCACAGCTGGGTTCAGATTGTGCCTAAGATACTGTGTGGCCTTCGGGAGGTAACTTCACTGGGCTTCACCTTTCTGTCCACGTAGCAACAGCTAACCTTCGAGGGACATGTCCAGTGTACCAGGCGCTCTTGTCAGCGCCTTGCACGTGTTAACTCGCTCGACCCTCATAGCAGCCCCATGTGTCTGCGCTGTGACCATTTCTCACAGATGAAGGAAACTGCAGCGCAGAGGTCAGCTACCTAACTTGCCCAAGGTCACCTGGCCGGCAAGTGGCAATGTCAGGAGCTATGGGTGGGTGGTCTGGTCCCGGAGTCCACCTGCCAACCACTGGACCTTCTGCCTCTTTCATGGGATGAACCCCGAAGGGCGTGAGAAGGCCTGCGTAATAAGTGATCCAGCCTTGTGCTGCTTCTGGCCTCACACGCTTTAGCCTAAGGCAGCACCAACATTTCTTACCGAGCTTTTCACATAGTTGACATAGTTGAAAGTTTACAATGGAGGAGGCTCTCAGACACCACCTCTATCGAGTGATCCTAGTGGTCCTCAAGATAATGGGACAAACCGAAGCTTGGGCCACTTGATAGGAGGCGATAAGGAGAGCACAGCATCGCTTCCGTGATAGTCCTGCTGGAGAAGATACTCCGATCTGAATTTTGACTGTTTTGTAATTGCTGGTTTAAGTGAGAATCTCCTTCTTTAGACTGTGAGCAGTTTGGGGTGGGGGAAGGGGGTTGGGCAAGTCATGACTTAGCTTTTTGCGCCCTTCCACCCAGTGCCTATCCCAGCTTGGGGCTGGCATACAGTAGGCACTCAAGCAATGCTTGCCAGGTGACTGGATGGCTAAGAGCTCCCGGGGCAGAGGCCAGCATGTACAGCCGAGCTTGTCTGGGGGCAGCCAAGGGCTGAGGGCCTGGGCTGGGGGCGCAGGAGCCTGGAGGAACAGGGCGCCTGTCTGACCTTACGGAGCAGCTGCCGCCCTCTCCCTCCACTTCCCCATCAAGGCCTGTAGCGACGTGAAAACTGTACGGTCCCATTACCCAGTGACCTTAGACGTGCAATTAAGTTGAAAATTAGTTGGCATCATTAACTAGATGGATAAATAACTCGCTGTCAACACTGATCAGTCCGTTCTGCATCTAATCAGCTCAGTGCTGGCAGGTGAGGTGCCCTGACAGCTGCTGCTTCTGCTGGCAAATGAGGGCGCAGGGCGGGAGGCAACACAGTGCCCAGACAGGAGCCCTAACCCCCACTCACCCACCCACAGGTCCTTCTACAATTGCCTATCATGGGAGCAGCCTTCCCAGGGCTGTCTTCAGCGGGCCCATCCTTGGCACCCAGCAAAACCACAGCTGAATTCCCAGGGGTCCACAGCGGCACAGGCCCTTTGTCCTCTCAGGTTCCCTACTTCAGAGTTCGGGTCCTTTGCTCAAGATTTATGACCTGCAGAACCACCATGGGAGCTCCATTTTGGGGCTAGCAAATTTGCCAAAGCTTTTTCAAACTAAGATATAACTTAGAGGCAGTAAAATGTATCCATGTTAGTGTACAGCGCTAAGTTCTGAGAGACGAATACAGTCATGTAACTACCAGCATGATCAAGACACGGAGTATTTCCAGCATTGCAAAAATCCCGCGGGCCCTCCTGGCATCCAACGCTTCCCCA